TACAGCTAGATTTTTTTCCCTTCCATAGTCACCCCGAAATGAAGCAAGTTTTAGAGCAGTTGTAGGTACAAACAAGGATTTGTTGTTTTTGTCTTTGGTTTTCAGTTTTCTTCTAGATGCCTGAATCATTTTAATCCAGTTTTAAAGTCCTCGAGCCTCTTCAGTGTCCTAGAAAATGACCATTTTGTTTGGTCTCCTATATGTTAGCATTTATAACTTATTTCAAGCTTGCTAAGAGACATGGTTTACAGATAAAGACTGTTGAGAGTCATTTGTTGTTGCTGATATCAGCTTTTTTATTATTCAGGCTTGACGTGGCATTTTCTTCAATTCTCACGGCAAAAACAGTTCTTCTAATCAGTTTCAGTTATGTAAATTTTGTTGTCTATTGAGTAACTTCTCCGTGATCTTGCTTTTTTTTTTTTTTTTTTCATTTTCACAACTGCAGAGAATTGAGGTGAAAACAGCTTTTGTAATTTGTCAAAGATGGGATGCTTGACCTTTGGGCAGACAGCAAAGCTTCCCATGGAGAAGCCACGCCTAAGTTTGGGAGATTTTGATAGCCACCAATAAGCCCCCCAAAACTTTCACCTTGCCGTTATACAAAAACTTTACTTGGGTTAAAACTCAGTTCTCAGAGTGAATACATATGTTGGGATCATTCTTGCAAGTTTCCCCAAGGTCCAAATGTAGTTATTTCATATCTATGGAAGCATATCTCCTGTCTATAGTACCATAAACAATGGGTTGATTTGGTCTGTTCATTCTTTATAATAGTATCATTTATTATCATGTGGATCCAAATCCACAGCTGCTTACATCAGAGCCCATAAATAAATTGATTGTGCTTCACCATACTCGAGGCTGTACTGGTGGTGAAATAATTGAAAATTAGGGAAAACGCAAATGAAAAAAAAAAAATTCAGTCCAGCTGGGTTCAAGTCCAGCTGGGTTGAATTTAGTTGGTTAAACTCCTTCACCACTGATGTTTATATTTGGTTTTATACATTAATGAGTTATCATTTCCTTACAAGTATGTAAAAATTCCTGGAAGGCAAATAATTGAGCACAGACTTTAAAAATTATAATTTATTTGGAATAGGTAATATGTTCACATGATTCAAAAGTCAAAAGGTCCTACCAGTACAATTCTCCCACTAGGAACCCAATCTGCCACTCCAAAAGCAACCGGTCTTAATAGCTTCTTATGCATCCTTTCAGATACACATTTTTTGAATATACAAAATTGTGTATCTACATTTTTTCCCTTTTTTAAAAGATTTTATTTATTCATGAGACACACACACACACACACAGAGAAAGAGAGAGAGGGGCAGAGACACAGGCAGAGGGAGAAGCAGGCTCCATGTAGGGAGCCCAATGTGGGACTCGATCCCGGGGTCTCCAGGATCACGCCGTGGGTGGAAGGTGGTGCTAAACCGCTGAGCCAACCGGGCTGCCCCATTTTTTTCCTTTTTAAAAAATGCAAAATTTGTATCTGGAAGGATACATAGAGTTACATAATATACAAAATACTAAGTAACTATCTGTGCAATACATAATTAATATAATATACAAAGCAAGCATACTGTACCCTCCTTTTGTAGTTTAACATTAAATGTGTCTCAAAGACCTGTTTCATATCAGTACAGAAAAAACTTCCTTATCTGTTTATGTGGCTAATACAGCATTTTCTTGTTTGGATTGTGCCACCCCATTTATTTAACCAGTTCCCTCTTGATGGACATTTGGGTTATTTCCAGTGTTTTGCTATTATAAACAATGCTGTAATCCTCACACATATATCATTTTTCACATGTGAGAATGTAACTGTAGGGTAAATTTCTGTAAGTGAAATTCCTAGGTCATATATAATTCTGATAGATATTGCTAAATTACCCTTTTCAGAGGTTGTACCAGTTTACATTCTCACTAAAATGTCAGGGACCACAAATTTTCTATCATTAAATTTATCTTGTATGCAAAAAAATAAAAAATTAAAATTAAAAAATTAAAAAAGAAGCTACTCTCCATATGCTATGGCCTGGATGTCTGTGTGCCCCCAAATTCACATGCTGAAATCCTACCCCTAAAGATGATGGGGACTTTGGAAGGTTCTTAGGTCATGAGGATGAAGCTCTCATGAATGGGATTAGTGTTCCTATGAAAGAGACCCCACAGAGGTCCCGTGCACCTTTTACCATGTGAGGGGACAGCTAGAAGGTGCCAGTTACAAACCAGGAGGAGGATCCTGATCATAATACAACCAACCATGCGGGCTCCCCAGAAACGTCAGAAATAAATTTGTTGTTTATAAGCCTCCTGCTCTGTGGTATTTTGTTGTAGTAGCCTTAACAGACTAAAAACACATCATCAGTGGTAGCATCTTCTCCATTCTCCAGTGTCCAAGTTGAATCTGGTCTCATTGATGAGCTTCCTAGCACCTGGGATTTCCTCCATCCCCGACTTTATAACATTTGCTGGCCTCTCTTCTCACTGTCCGGAGACAGTTCCTTAAAGTCTCATATTTTCTAGCAATTGAATTATTACTTAATTCTTCTTGAATTTATGTATCATGTCTTCAGTTGGATGGTAAGCTCCAGAGGAGCATCAGCCACATTTAATATCTTTGACTCCTCTGCAACTTCTATAGAAGTTGTCGAATGAGGAACTGAGATGCAGTGAGATGTTGGTAGTGGAATTGTGGAAAATGTCAGTGGAATTTCAAGTATGAAAGTGCTACTTTCTGTGTCTCAGCACTGGCATGGACTGGGGAAGGGAAATCAACTCTTAGGCTACAAAGAAGGGAAGCAGAGGTAGGGAGAAATACATGAGGGAAAACCAGATTAGTATGTTGAGATTTGCCATTATCCTACCACAGAGCCTTCTTCTGGTAAACCCATTTGCTTCTTGAGAACTGTCCTCCTCCAAAATACAGGCATTTGGGACACCATCCTAACTCGGTGTCACCACCATTATAGTCATCCCTAGTGGACTCAGAGCACCAAATCTGAGAGTGTGTGATCCAATCTGAGAGTGTGGTCTCCAGTCCAGAGATTATGCAGGATTTGAGATTTGCCTCCTTTTACCTCCCCTTGAACCAGAATGCTGCTGCCTATTATCTTAGGCCTAACCTTGTAGTGGGTGTCCCTTCAGCAGGTCATAGGATCTTAACATTTCTGACCTCCCCTCCCGGTCTGGATCATCCCCTGGTTTGCCATCTGACCTGAGGGACTGAATTCTGAGGCCTGGGTGTGACCTCACTCCACTCCCATCTCCCTAGCTTTGACTATCCTTTTCCGCAAGAGATCAGAAAGCCACACTGACTGGTGTGCAAGTCAGGAAGGAATCTGTTTACTGGTTTCTTTGAATGGATATGGATATTCTAAACTGCCTGTCCATCCAATTCCACTTTTCTATATGATAGGATCTGCAATACTCTCATAAATCTGGAAAACGGAGCCAAATAATGATAGCTTAATTAAGAAATCAAGAAGTATCCATTTCAGCCAATTTGGCCACTTACTCTCTATTGAAAATTACATCATAGTCTTATATACATTACTTTTAAATGGCCATTTTATATTTTTCATTTGAAGGAAAAGACATAAGTAAATAATCAGCAAGAATTACAATAAAAACTGCTACTTGGTATATCTCATCATGAGCCGATGCTATTTAATGAGAGAATATATGTAATCCCAGTGTCTAGCATGGAATAGATGTCGATTGATGGTAATTACCACAACTGTTGATGATAAAACCCCACCACTAACAACTGTTTCAATTTCTTCAAATCTTAATTTAAAATATAAATAATTCTGGAAATATTTAAATTATAATAGGGGTAACTTGGTTTATTACACTAATTTCCTTTAAATTCTGGGGACCCGGACCAGGGAAAAATTATAAAAATGGAATGTATCTGTCTTGACAAATGTGATCAGTAACAGCAACAGTGCAAAAGTTAATTTTGAATTCTAATTTTTAAAATAGTAATCTATATGTTTTCTAAAATAGATAAAAATATATTTGACCCACTTGCAGCAGATAGTTGCATGCTTATAAAAAGGACTGGAGTAAAACTTTAATGAAAGCCTATGGTTCATTTTCAGGCCTATTTTCCTATAATATGAGCCCCCTGCCCTTCATTGTCACAAAATTCCAGCCAGAACCTTGGCCACTATAGCCAGCCAGGAAGACTGGTCATAAAGCTGATTTGTCCCGCCGCCCAGCACCCACTTAGCAGGCATAAATATGTCATCATCATTTCTACAGAGATACTGATATTCTTTCTTTAAAAACATCTAGCATCCAAAATACAGTCTTAGGAATACTCATCGTCATCATCTTTTGAGAGTGTCTGATTCAGAGAAATGATCACAAGTCTCTTTAAAGTCAGCTTAATGACTCAGCAACTGAGAGACCAACACTTCCTTGAATGACAAGTGTTGTCATATTTGACTTCAAACTAGAAATTTTTATGGCCCCACCCTAGACCAGGCCTCAAGCCTCTCCTTGGTTTCATGTTCGATGTCTCACTTCCTTTTCAGAATGTGAATTCTGGAATACATCCAGCTTTATAGGCACTAGGTTGCATATCCATGTTTACTGATCTGAGAAGAGTCCTCTCTGTGAGGAAAGCCCCTTTGTTTCCTTAGAGCTGTTTTGGGGACCACTCCTTCTCTCTCACCCTCCCTCTTGCAGATCTTCAATTTGTACAACACGATTTTGACTCTTTTCTTGGTATTGTCCTCAAACTACAGAGTAAGAGAGAATGAAAGTTTTCAATGCGTTCTTTTGAAAAAATTACTTTTTTTTGTATTTTTTCATTGCACAGAACTAAGAGTAGGCTGCATAAACAGCAGCCATGAAGTGAAGAACTAGGAAGATAGCTGAGATATCCCCCATAACTTTTCCCACCGGGACATTAAACTGGCTGTGGTTTTATGAGGCCTAGAAAACAAGACAATGGACATGGTGGTGCACCAAGGAACAAAATAAATAAAAATATTTTATTAAATTAATGCAGATGTAAACAATGACAATTAAAATGTAGAACTAAGTATCATTTCTGCCTATGTCATTTAGAGTAAAACACAAGACAAGAGGATAAAGTGCCTGACAAATTCAACACCACAAAGAGGAATGGAGTAAGCTCAGTCAGACTCCTTCCTTGTACTTCACAAAGGATGTTGTCATGCAAACGAGGGACACCGTACAAACGAACATGTACAAAAGGTAACAATGAGTTCTGTTAGAGACTCTGTTTCTTCAGCTTTGCCATGTGGCAAAACGAAGGTTTTCTTTGTCGATAATCCAGGTAAATGGCCAAGAGAGAAGGAAGACACAGGACCTCCTGGGAGACACGTGAACCTCAAAGCCTTTGAAAAGCAACGTCTTAGATCTATGTAGTGATGAGAACTGGTGGGACTCAGAGGTTCAGGCACAGCTCCTGACCTTTTTTAGCACAGGTGAGAGTCAAGGTACACTACTGGAATTTCCAAAAACAACAACAAAAAAAAAACCACCCATGTAATTTCACAACTGCAATATCAAAATCTAGTTTTCACTCAAGAGAAAACAGATAGGAAAAAAAACACAAGTTCCATACAGGATTCTGTCGAACAGAATTGGTAATAAGTCAGTCGTTAGGACTAGGTTGAGCCAGTGTACCCTGGAGAACCCAAGCATCTCACTTTGAGAAACACAAAATAAACCAAATCCAAACTCAGTCATGGAGCAAGCACTCAACAAATGCTGGTTGTTCAAATGTCAATGAAGCACATACTTAGTATGTAGTAAGTCTTATAAAAGTAATAACAGGCTATGGAAAAGCTAATCTAGAAATAAACAAGACCCAGTGTCTGACTTATGGGAACTTCACATTTGTTCCAACGGCACCATAAGAAGTAATATATTAAATAAGAATAGCCAAGTGCACAGCAGGTGAATAGTGTGTTACCATTTATGCAAAAAAGAGGAAGAAATAAAAAATATACTTTTTATATGTATTTCTACATACATTCCTAGAATATCTTTAGAAGACTATAAGAACAAAAGGCAAGAGTTGGTTGCTTCTGGAAAGGAAAACCAGGTATCTAGGAGGATGGAATGGGGACTTTTTAATGTCTCCTCTTGGACTTTCTGAATTTTGAATCATGGAAAGGTATGAATTCAAACTTCAATTGCACTTATATATATATATATAAAAGAAAGAACCACTGAGCAATACCAACACCATATACATGAGTGTCAGATTGCATGGCAAAGGCAAATAAATCAGATATAAATATAATAATAGAAAAGGCATTCGAGAGCTACTTTCCACAATTTTTTAAAAACACTGACTTATCTCCTAAACTAAAATCACTTTGATTAAAATGTATTTTCGACTTGCAAGGAACACACTGATGAAACGCCCTGGGGGGTATGCCCCCCGCCCTTTGGGAACCTTTCTAGACTCTCCTCTTCATGCCATCGTTCTCCTCCAACACCTTATACTATGACACTGCACTATACTGAAATGATGAATTCTCTTATCAGTCTCCCCCATGATACTGTGAGCTCCTGGGGGGAGAGGTACTTTGTCTTGCTTAGTCACCACCTGGCATAGTGACACGGCTGCTTCCTAAATGTTTGCTGAATGAATGAATTTCTTAAAGCAAAACACAGCTCTAGGCTGTATTCTAAAGGCGGGGGGCGGGGTACAGTTGTGGACATCCAGGGTCTGCTATTTACTCTCTCAGGCAAGTTACTCCATCTCTTCGCACTCTCCACTGTGAAATGGTATGGTAAGAGTTCCTACCACAACACAGCTGTCCTAGGCATTAAATGAGATTCTGTGTAGGATCCCACACAGTGGTTTACACGGATATTTAAAATGGAACAGATACTGCAGTAATATATATTACCTTCAGGTCTGAGAAGATTATTAGGATCAACCAAAGTACTGGAGGGTTAAATAAGGCAACGAATATCCTATAGAAATCATGGGTCTGTTCTCCTTGCTTCCCATGTCCTGGCGGCTGTGGAGGATACCAAACACCTTATAAATACTACATGTTTTATTGAACACACACAACTCACTAAGCAGTAAATGTAGTTTTGTGACAAAATTTTAACTTCTACTACAATGTGTCTTCCAAAGAAATCACTCACAACCACACTCACACAAGACTCCAAAGACTCAAAATAAATAGAAATAACATCCTTAAATACTGTTGCAACACTGGGACCTTCAGTCACACAGACAACAAATAGAGACGTTGAGCGAAGGCAAAGTGCACTTCTGCAGGAACTGACACATTAAATCAGGGAATCTCAACTTGTTTTCCTAGGATGAGCGATGGACGGTTCATGGGGAGTTCATCTTCCAGAAGTGTCCTTCCTTTCTTTTGTAGGTGCCTGTGATTCTCCCAGTCGTTTTGAAGTGCCAAAGTCTCCTTGCAGGCTACCCCCTCTACTCTTTATTACTTTGTTCTCCTCCTCTTCTCTCCCACCTTCCACTGGTCACCACTTGGGCCTTCTGAGCCCTATGTCGCCTGCAGCTTGCCTGGCCCTCTGCACTGCTCTGGTCATGAGTAGCTCTGCTGAACTCAAACCACAGGCCGAGAATCCCTGCTTTAAGATCAGGAGTTCCCATGCTGGATTATGTCTCTTCAAATTGTATATCTAGAGAACAATAATGACAGACATAACTCATATTTCCTAGATGATATAATAAATTTACATATTTACACAATTTTCTCTATATAATAGAGGAGGACCAACCACCTGGCTTGCCCATGTTTGTTCTGGCTTTGAAAACTGAGACTCTCATATCCTGAAAAACCCCTTAATTCCGGGCAAATGTAGAGAAGTGGTTGGTCACCCCTAGGACACTCCAAACAACATTCACTACTTAGTTTTACAAAACAGTTGAGTGGAATTGACCACATAATGAAACCTGCTTGAGCTCATTCAAATTAATTAGATCACTTTAAATTAGCACTGGTTGTGAAGTTTGGTTTCTAACAGCATTAAAAAGAATTAGAAATCTTAACATAACTTTCTTCTTAGTTCAATTAGCTGGGTGAGGTCTTTCTGACCTTCTATAAATGTAGACATTGGTGGTAAAATTAATTTAAGTGGATAGGTTAAGAGTAAGGTTCTATGGTCAGGCTAGTGGGCTCCAAAGCCTGATTTTTGTCAGGCATGTGTTCTTGGGCAATTTGATGTATTTTCCTGACCCTGTTTTCTCTAGTATAACATGGGAAATATCCTAGTATTTATCTCTTTGATTTGGTGGGGAGATTAACCTAGGCACTGCATATGAAGCAGCTAACACAGTGCCTGCTACTCACGTTTTATCTATCTACCTATCACTCACCCATGTAAGTCAATGTGTTCCCCTTTTGCAGGGAGGTGTTAGATGCTGAGCTATAAATCTAGCAGACAGAAGCTGCCTCCTCTCCCCATCCTCAAAGCTCTCAGGAAGCTACACTCCAGGCCATCTCTAAATCTCCTCGGGCTATGGGAGGAGTTCTCATCTTACAGTCGTGAGGCAGTTCTAACAGCCAGCATTCCTTGAAGTGAGAAGAGAGCTGGTAAGTTATAACTAACTTTTTGTTTCTTTTTCTTTCAACCTCCTAACCCCTGCTAATATTCTCACCATTTCGTTTCTTTGAGTTCCTATCTCGGGTGCAACATTTTTCCACATCCATCATTCTCCCTTGAGGGGGGAAAAAAAAAAGGTCATTTTTATTCCCATGTAAAACAACTCTACATCCATCCCACACAGTGACTCAGTTTAAATTCCAAGTTCCTATGAAACATTTTTAACCCTCTAGGAAATCTGGTTAGATTTCTGAATTAATTACATGGGTTCCAACCCCTTAGGTCAATTCAATATTTAGGGCATATGCTTTTGCTCCTAGGTTTTATTTTATTTTAATGTTTATTTATTTTTTTAGTAATCTCTACACCCAATGTAGGGCTCCAAGCCACGACCACAAGATCAAGAGTCACATGCTATTCTGACTGAGCCAGCCAGGTGTCCCACTCTGAGATTTTTCTTTAGGAGTATACACCTTTATTCTCCATTCTTCCCTCAGAGATAGACCATATCCTCAGAGATAGTACCAGTATCCTGAGGTACTATATTATACATTAGTTTTCTAGCCATTCATAATGCCAACTAATTATTTTTCATGGGAAAATACTCAAAATGCAAGTTGGCAACAGTCATGTCCTTGGACAAATCAACTCCATCTCAGGATCATCATATCATTGAAAACTGATCCTTCTCTTCTGGCTAATAGTCTCAGTTCTGTTAAATACCTGTTCTTTAGAAAGAGCTGACCTCCACTCAACCACATGGCTTTCCCAGATCCACCCATCTTCTTACGGGGCTGTGGGGAACTTTTCAACCACTGCTGGAATTCCCTTCCATCTTCTACTTCCCTCTTTGATCTCAGATAACTCTACACACACAATCATCTTTGGATCCCCTGGTTAGATTTCTCAAAGTATTGGGGAAATGTCTACTTTGAATCATCTCAGAATGGGAGGAAATTATTTGAATAGACTCATTTTCCTGGATTTTAATTGTTCCCATGGGCAAAGAGAGAGGTAAATACATGCAAATTATTTTGAAAACTACATAGCACTCTCAGCCAGAAGTCTTGTAAAATACTCTATGGTAAAAGCATCACCGCTCTACAGGGAAAAAAAAAAAAAAATCTATTTTTTATTCCTTAGGTTGCCTGGAAACCAGCTCAATATAACAATGCAACTAATAATGCAAGATTCACATTCAATTGACACTGACAGGTGTTTTAGCTTTTCCTCCCCTATTCTAAGTGTGTGGTTATTTGCATGATGGAAAGAAACGGTGTAATGCTTGGTCTTCTTCACCTTATGTACACACCCATTCTTCCACCTCTCACCCACATACACATGATCTTCACCAAGCAACCCTGCTCAGCTTCACTGTCATTGCTAGTCAACAGTGGAATGTCTTTGCCACCTTGCAAATCAATTCAAGGTTTCCCTGCAGCCATGTTCCAACTGTCATCTCCTTAGAAATGCTTCTACAAGTGTTCACTGCCACTTTCCAACATAAGCGATGCTGTACAATAGTGAAATGAGCAGGATGGAGAAGAAGATAATCCACAGTTTCATATGGTAGCATAACTGAAACCCACTTTGCATAATTGAAAGTTGACCCAGGAAGGGAATGCTAATAGGAAGGCAGCATTTTATACATCAGTGTTTCCTGGCTGGGCCACCACTAGCATTTTGGGTAGGAGAGCTCCCTGAGACATGGGACTGACCTGCACATTACAGAATATTGAGCATCCCTGGCTCTGCCTATAAGTGCCAAAGTGACAACAGTGGCACTCCCGTACATTTCCCCACATGCCCAGTGGAGACCATTGCAATAAAGAAAATACCATGTTTTTTTAGACAGAAAGTGACTGCCAGGACTACACCAAGAAGCAACAGGAAAGATCCTAGAATCACGAAATGAGTCCTCTCACGTGTTGGAACGGGCAGTGGTTCTGAAAAACAAAAGGAAATAAAAAGAAATGAAAGGTGAGATTTTGATGGGAAGGGGACAAGAGAATAATCATCCTTGAAGTTTAATTTAGGCTAGCTTTGGGTTACAAGAAGTTCCCAGCCAGCGAGCGGCTGGAGTGGTGAGATACTTCTGATAGGAAAATGGGAACAGTGTAGAAGAGTGACACAGCTCAGGCTTTGAGCAGATGGGCCACTCACTAACTTTGGTCTCTCAGGCAAATCTTCTAACTGGCCTACAAAATGGAAATGATAATAAATTTTTTTTTTTTTTTGGAAATGATAATAAATTGATCGTGCTTACCACAGGTAGTTGCTGCTCAGTCCTAAATGAGAGGTCCAATGATCTCCCTGGCATTCTTTAATATAGAAGCTAGCAGTCTACTGTAAAGATGGCACATGAAGACCAACTGGCACTGCCAAGAATTTCTACCTCCTCGTATACATGGCCATGATTGAGGGCCATTGCTCACTATCTTCTCTTTCCCAGTTTGAACATTTTGGGACATCTGATCATTGGTACTTCTCGGCAATCTGTCTTGGCTCCATGCGGGAAGAATAGCACGAAGATGCTCAGAGACTGCTAACTCCCACCTCTCTTCATTGGTCCTGATCCCTGACTACCTCGTTCAAGCTCTGAAGTAAAAACAGTGGTCAACCGCCCATCCACTAGCAGTTTACAGCTTACAAAGCCCATTTATATTCTTTTTATTTCAATCTCAGAATAAGTTCAGTTAGGTATGCAAAATATTTTTTTAAAAATCCGAGGTTATAGATGAGGAAACAGACCCCAAGCAATTAGGTGAATTACTAAGTCTTCCCACAAATAATTTGTCATAAAACAACTTTTAAGTGGCAGGAACCCACAAATGGAGCCCCTACTGAAGTGACTCACAACCCAGTGAGAACATCTCTAAGTTTCTAAATGTTTTTTCACTCTTTTCATTCATGGGACCATCTTGTATTGGTTTTCCTTGCCACCCAATTTCTATTCTTTTTTTTTTTTTTAAGATTATTTGTTTATTCATTCATGAGAGACACAGAGAGAGAAGAAGACATAGGCAGAAGGAGAAGCAGGCTCCCTGTGGGGAGCCCGATGTGGGACTCCATCCTGTACCTGGGGATCACGCCCTGAGCCGAAGGCAGATACTCAACCATTCATTGAGCCACCCAGACATCCCTCCACCCACTTTCTCAGTTGTTTTTTCTGAAGCATCTGAAGCTTTACTGGCAACATCATTGAGAAGTGCTTCTCAGAACACCTCTGTTGTGTTAACATCATGCTCTCCTGCCTTACTTTCTCTAAAGGTCTCAGGCTCTCATCACTCTGTATCCCACCTTACCCATTCTGGTAGGGTAGTAAGAAAAAAAATAATTGAGTCTATGCAGGGAAGAGTCTCAAATCATTTTCATACACGGTAACTCACTGGCGCCTACAATAACCTTGCCTGGTAGGTTATAACTGTTATAACTAGGGAAAATGAAGCGTTCAGAAGCTGAGTGGCTTATGCAGAGACCAGAGCCTCCCATCTTACACACTAAATTGACTGCTTTGGGTTGAAATGTCACAGTCTATCTTGGGGGTACAGTTAACAGACGGGGACAATGGATCTTTCCTATTTAGAGTAAGATAGAAAAGTATGTTCTATTCGCTTGCTACCCCAGAAACCCTGGAAAGAAAGGAGCAGCTCTGATATGCTCGGATCTGGATTCCTGAAACACTGCCTGAGCTGTTTTCCTCTGGGGTACTCTCCCAGGTCCCCCTGCCACAAAAGCATTTCCTACATGGGATGGGATTGCCTTATCTGTTTATCTGTTTCCTGGAGAATGTCAACAGTGTCTAACTCTTCTATGAGCCCCTGATGCCTGGCACATAGGGCATATCCAGTAAAATATTTGCTGAATGTTTATTAAACAGCAATAGGACTTGGATGAATGGGGATAAGGAATCATTTTGTAAATACAGTGTCATTCATGCATTCACTTATTTAACAAACGTTGGATTCCTAAAATGAACATGCATCATGCTAGAGTCCAGGGAACAGCAGTAGGCACATTTGTATTGAGGCATTCAGAATATTACCTGGGATGACCAACTCGGCAGTATTGTTTTCCTCAGGACCTGATCTTTGAAAAGTGCAGTAGAAAATCTCATTAGCTGTTGCATTGATGTTCAGCGTGCTGGTCACATTGAAAAGCTTCTCCTCCCTATTGGAATTAGTGATGGTGGTTTTGCCACTCAGGACTCGGTGGTCACTGCTTGTCCAGATGACTTCAGCCTCAGGGTAACCCTCAGCCTGACACATTAGTTCATATTCAGAGGTGACAGGATCCACAGAAATTCTTTGGCTGATGTTGCGGTACGGGGCTAGATCATGAGCAAAAAGAAGTCAGGGCCTTCACTTAGGACAAAATTAGGCATGTGGTTTGGTGTCATCTACATTAGGAAAAGTATCAATTCAGGTGGGTTCTCAAGAGAAATATGCTGATGTTCAGATGTCTCAGCAGTGAGGAACCTCTATGCTGCTTCAACTCGCCCATTCATAGTTGGGCTACATTTGAGCTCAAAGGAACAATTACCTACCTTGCTACGAAAACCATATTGCTATTTTTATCAAGCTCCAAGTAAACACATAGGTTAAAGAGAATTGTCATCTCTAAACCAATAGTCTTTCTATCCAAATACAAAATATGTCTGCCATTTGTTCAAGTCTCTGTATCTTTCTCATAAAGCTTTATAGTTTTTACATAGGGCTAACCCATTTCTTCTTAAATTTATTCCTGGATATTTTCTTTTTGTTATTGTAATGCTGTTTTTGTAACATGAACCTTCCCAGCTGACCAGCACAGACTTTATTTAATAATCAGAAAAGCTGATTTTCACATGCCATTCACTTTTTCAACTATGGGTCAATGATCAGAAATTCGGTATGAAAAGGGTATAAAGTATAGTATCACTGTAAAAACTGATACGTGTTCCTGGATAATACTATTTAAAGTTTAAGTTTATTTTTTACTTCAGAATAGTTTTAAGATTTCCAGATGAGTGGCAAAGATAGTACAGAGTCCCCACATACCTATCACCCAATTACCTTCTATTGTTAACATCTTGTATTACCATGGTGCATTTGTCATACTAAGGAACCAATGTTTATATAGTACTATTAACTGTACTTTGCTCACACTTTGCTCCATTTCACTTGTTTTTCCCTAATGTCCTTTTTTCTATTCCAGGATCTCATCTAGAATACCACATTATAATACTTACTTTTTGAACCTTTTATTCTGGCTATTTGAATAAATCATTTAAATAATTATTATACTTAAGAAAGAAAGTTTGAATTTTATTTTATTTTTTATTTTTTTTAATTTTTATTTATTTATGATAGTCACAGAGAGAGAGAGAGAGAGGCAGAGACATAGGCAGAGGGAGAAGCAGGCTCCATGCACCGGGAGCCCGATGTGGGATTCGATCCCGGGTCTCCAGGATCGCGCCCTGGGCCAAAGGCAGGCGCTAAACCTCTGCGCCACCCAGGGATCCCCAAGAAAGTTTGAATTTTAGATCATCAATTAGAATTTAACTCTTTGGAGACCAATCGAATCCCACATCGGGCTCCCGGTGCATGGTGCCTGCTTCTCCCTCTGCCTATGTTTCTGCCTCTCTCTCTCTCTCTCTATGTCTATCATAAATAAATAAATAAATCTTAAAAAAAAAAGAATTTAACTCTTTGGTTTGGGCCCTTTTAGGATTAAGATACCACATGTACTACTTTAGTAGATTATTTAGTGCATTTACATCACCTAAGATCTTTATTCATTTTATTCATTACAAGCATGGTAACATGTCGTTCTTCTCTTGGTATAATTTTTATTTCACTCACAGAGACTTAATATGAAACAGCCAGAAGTAAACAAAACTGAAATAATGATGTGATGTTTTTGTGCTGGCAAGTCAATGAAATGGCCAACAGAAACAGTAGAAATCAACATGATTATAATTTCAAAACACATAAATAATGGTTCTCATGAACCATGAGGATTTGAGTCCTCAACCTTGTATCTGTTATGTTTAAGAATCTTTTTAAAAAATATGATTATACTTCCTCAAACAATATTACCATGATAGGGTCTAGTTTACATAGCACAGAACTTGATTTCTGGGCCATTTAGTTTTCAAGACTAAAATCACAGGTAATAGTAAAGTATTAAAGGTCAAATATTTGTTTTACTCTTGTAACTTTTAATGGAATGATAAAGGAGAACGTTGCTTTATCCCTAAGCATGTGTATAAATGTGGTCTGCCCCTCAGAGCCTAATAAAATGAGTGGAATGGTTCTACTCATTGACCAGATATCCACTACACTAATCTCTTTAGTAGGGTACATGTGTTGGGGTATAGGAAGCAAAAAATTAGAACTTCCATTTAAATATATTTTAATTGTAATAGTTAAGAAATAATCTAAGCTTCATAAACTTTACTATTGGACACTGGGCCTCATTTTTTTAAAGATATTATTTATTTATTCAAGAGACAGAGAGAGAGAGAGCAAGGCAGAGACACAGGCAGAGGGAGAAGCCAAGCTCCATGCAGGGAGCCTGAAATGGGACTTGATCCCAGGTCTCCAGGATCATCTCCTGGGCTGAAGGCGGCGCTAAACCGCTAAACCACCCGGACTGCCCTGGGCCTCACTTTCTATGCCACATGAGGGTCTTATGGGAAGAAGGAAATTTTATAAGACCAAAGGGAAAACAGTGACTCCTTTGGGCTTATTACAGATTTCCAGATTCTCTTATCTAATTTTAACTAGACTAACCTGCTCACAAAATGAACAAAAAAGTAAAAATTTTCCCATAAAGAAACTGAGGATGGAATACTAATACTTCAAGCACAAAACACAAGGAAGTGGCAAGAGGGACACTTTTTACCTCTTTATGACACTTTATGAAGTTAAAACAAGAAGTACATAATTGGACCTGATAAGGTGGTGGTTTAAAAACCCTCAAGATTTTACATAATGCTGCTATAGACATTGGGGTGCATGTGTCCCTCTGAATTAGTATTTTTCTATTCTTTGGGGAAGTATCTAGTAGTGCAATTCCTGGATCTATTTTTAACTTTTTGAGGAACCTCCATAGTATTTTCCTACAACAGCCAAATTATGGAAACAGCCCATTTATCCATCAACTGATGAATGGATAAAGAAAATGTGGTATGTATGTGTATACACACACACACACATACACACGAATATTACTCAGCCGTAAAAAAGAATGAACTCTTTTTTACTTGCAAGATGTGGATGGAGCTAGAGAGTAGAATATTAATATTAAGTGAAATAAGTCAGTCAAAAAAGGCAAATACCATATTCCTCACTCGTATGTGGAATTTAAGAAACAAAACAAATAAACATAGGGAAAAAGAGAGGCAAACCAATAAACAGATTCTTAACTGTAGAGAATAAACTGATAGTTACCAGAGGGGTGGGGGGTGGGGGGATGGGCAAAATATGTGATGGGGAATAAAGAATGCACTTGTGATGAGAAGCACGTATTGTATGCAAGTGCTGAATTCCTAAATTGTACACCTGAAACTAAAAACAAAAAATACCAAAACCTCAAGATTGTCGAGACCATCTACCTTTGTTAACAATGAATTTAACCTTGAAGTATTAGCTAATGATAGTAAATCATAGTTAACAAGGCATTAAAATATAATTAAATTTTTATTTCATCCTTTAAAAACGTCTGTCTTTATACATTTATAGAATGTTCAATGCATTAGGCTGAACCATATGAAGTCAGTGTTGTTCAACTTCATTTACCTTTTAAAAATGTCAATTTCTTTTTTATTTATTTATTTATTTATTTATTTATTTATTTATTTATTTATTTATTTATTTATTTATGATAGTCACAGAGAGAGAGAGGCAGAGACACAGGCAGAGGGAGAAGCAGGCTCCATGCACCGGGAGCCCGACGTGGGATTCGATCCCGGGTCTCCAGGATCGCGCCCTGGGCCAAAGGCAGGCGCCAAACCGCTGCGCCACCCAGGGATCCCAAAATGTCAATTTCTTATGCTATATCCTTTTTATCAGCATAAGTATATCCTTTCTAACTATACACACACACAAATACACACATATTAACTAACATGCTTTACTGATGGAGTAGGTCATCAAACACATGTGTAGACTCCTGGTTTACTAGATACAGAGCACACACATGCTAATCGAATGGTCACATCAAGATCAAGAAAAGCTCACTGTAGTTTTGAAGTCAATATATAACTTCATACACACTCTGGAGGTATAAATACAGAAAGTAAAACCTGGTTGTTAGGGACACAGACTCCAGAACTAGATTACCTGAGTTCAGAACCTGGCTTTACCACTTAATAGCTGAGTAAACTTAGGTAAATTAGTTAATTTCTTTGGGTCTCAATTTTCTCCTTCATAAAATGAGAATAACACCACACACGTCATTGAATCTAAGATGCCATCTACTAAAAGATGTACTTAGATCCAGAGATAGTAAAATGTGAAAAACCTGCATCTTAGACATAATGAATCCCTTACCCCATAGAGTCATTTGAGGATTAAATGAAGAGGATAGGCAAAATGTTTAGGACAGGTTCCTGGCACATAGTAAGTACTACATGAGTGTTAGTTACTATTATGATAACTACTAGAGCTGTTCCTCCTCCTCTTCTTACTACTACCATGTAAGTGTACTCATGTAATACTCTTCAGAAAGTACTGACTGTTCCTCATGAACAGACTTGGAAATAAAATTTCACATATTCAAACCTGTTCATCTTTCAAAATTGTTAGCCTCATCCTATTTGAGGAAATATTTCATTCATTCATTCATTCAAAAAATATTTTTTGTGTTCCCTTGTCAAACTCCTCTTGTATGCCCAGTCCTGGGATCTAGCACTGAATAAAACAGACCAAAATCTCTGTCTTTGTGGAGTACATATTCAAGAAAGAGGAGAGAGATAATGAACAAAACAGGTGCATTCATATGTGTTAGATAGGCATGAAAAGCTTACGTGATACATTAGATGGGGAGGAATACTATAGAAAAAAATCTAAACAAGGCTGGTTGGTGAATCTAGGGGAGAGTTGGGGTTGGTAGGGAATGATAACAGTTAATCCTTGGCTAATATAAACAAATAAGCTTTGTCAGGAAAACTATGCAATACTTTGGTCTTTTAGTTGCCTAATCCCATTTATGGTCCTTGCTATTAGGTTAAATGATTAAGGAAAAACAACATTCTCAGTTGAAAGTCAGATACCTGAGAGTATGTATGGTATTTAAACTGATAAACACAAAAGATGTAATAATACCCAGAGTGATAATAATAATTGAGTTAATCCAAAACTAAATTTGCATTTTAGTTTTGAAATGCTTCACCTATAAAACCCCATGGTGAGTAAACTCCCTGTGGGGAAGCTGTATTACCACATGTTTGCAGTGATGGGAAGAGAAGCATTACTGTGAAATCATTTGCATATAGGGGCGGCTCAGGAATTGTATTTCCTTGAGTTGTTAAAGCTCATGCAAGAGGACCATTGCCACTGGTAACACTGCCTCAGTGCAAGTGAAGCATGGTGGTGGCCTTTCTCTCAGGGTAGTTCAACTCAACACCCAAGACCATTGTGTGCTGATGACAACAAGATGGATTGGGATTAGGATGCCAATTTAGTAATTTATAATATAAAATGGAATGGTCAAAACAAATCAGACCCTCAAGTCTGGCTGGTCATCTGCTTTGCTCTATCAGGAACCCCTTCTTGGAAAAAACATCAGCGCCAAAAGGTTTCCAACTGTGTTGAACCATAACAAAAGAAATCACAGATCAACAAAGGAAATTACAGAGCCCAGAGGACCAGAAAGAACACCCTTCCTTGCTACAGGACAGCTGTATGATTCTTTTTTTTCATAGTACTGATTTTCAGATTGATGGCAGGCCAGGAATGCAAAGAACAATGAGTGATGACTGGATTCTGGTCACATACTAAAAGGTCATCATGTAAACAAAAGAAGCAGGCAGATAATCTCAAAACTATGGCTTGAGAGGGCAGGTATCAGCTCAGTATCAGAAAATAATTTCAAAACGCTATGGAAGGGAGGTCCAAGTGACAGAGTGTCATTGTGGAAAGTATGTGAGCAGAAGATCCCTTATGGGGATTTCTGTTTCTTGGGAGTTTGGACTAGCTGCTCTTACTTGGGATCCTTTCACCTTTCAATTCTATGAATCTTAACAGTAAAAGTAGAGGGGTCAGTGAAGGTGTTTTCCTTGTCTAATGACACCACAAAACTTTGAACACAGGTGACCTGATGACATATTTGTGGGTCACTACCTAGGAATTTGATACTTACAGTTCCTCTACAACACTCCAAGATAACAGTGGTGTAGATTTTCAAGATGAATATATGCCCAGTGAGCATAGTTTATACTGTCTCTGAAGAAGAATAGTTTCCTTTATGTTTGGTATTATTTTTTGCCTTTATAGATGACTTCAAGTCTTTTTGAATGTGAACCTCACAATGGAGTTTGTTTTTACTATATTAATTCGGAGTTGACAGAGTTATAAAGAAAGGAAAATGATGGCAGACTTAATCACATTTTTTTAAAAAATTATAGTTGAATAAAAAAATTCCTGGAGGGACACACAAATAGTAGCTACTATCTTTATATGCCACAGAAGATGGGAGAAGGACACTCTGTAATTCATGTTATTCCCTTCCATGGTATCTGAATTATTTCCAAGTACACGTATTACTTTCATAATAATAAAAAAGTAGAGACTAGGAATTTATTTTTAAGAGAACTGAACATACTGTGGAACATGGCCCCACCATGTCTGGCTCTGGATCTCCAGGGACTGCCATATAGGAAGTGTTTGAGAAATGCTCATTGGATGAGTGTGTGAATGAAAGGATGAGCAGATTACCACAGTGGAGAACAAGGTGGACTTCCAAGAAGAAAAAGTTCCCAGTACTGGGGTATGGTCTTAATAAAGATTGGGCCTCTTCACCTGCATTTACTCTTACCATGAACTTTCAAAGTAATCCGCTTGTAGTCAGCACCGCCATAGCCGATCAAGCAGCAGTAAACCCCTGCATCCTGCAATCTCACATCTGTGATCTGAAGCGCAGCCTTCCCCAAGAAGAGCTGGTCCTTCAATAGCTGAGCCCTCTGGCTGTAGCTGCTGTGCTGAACTTTCAGGTCTTCCTTTCCATTCACAAATTGAATAATTTTTTTATCCTCCATTTCCCAGTAGACGATTAGTGCAAACAAGTTTAACTGTTTTTCCACCGGGAATTTGCATTCCATTGTCACATTGCCACCATACTCTACCACATACAGGTCCTTAGAAACTGTGATCGTAAATGCTGAAGAGAAAGACAACCAAGCTTCAGAAGATGGGAAACTCCTCAAAAAACTTACATATTAAATGCAGGGTTTACAAACACTTTATCTGGTCACTTATATGATAATTATGTTTAAGGATTTACTTCCCTAAAATATCTATTTTATCTAGTGGCTTTGGAACATGTTTTGGAACTCTGGATCTCATCTCTAAGTTAGAATAATATGATCCACTATGGGGCACCTGAGTGGCTCAGTTGGTTAATCATTTGTGGCTCAGGTCATGATCTCTGGGTTCTGGGATAGAGCGCCACATCACTGGGCTCCCTGCTCAGTGGGACGTCAGCCTCTCCCTCTTCCCCTCCCGTCCCGTCCCGTCCCCACTGCTCATGTGTGCTCTCTCTTTCAAATAAATAAAATTTAAAATAAATAAATAAATAAAATGCACTAAACAAGTTGCTGTTTCTTAACCAAATCATAAAAATACATTACTGTAGAAACATTACATGGTGATGGGGTACTTATAACCAGGAAGACTGTTTCATGTGGATATCCCCACAGTGTCCTTTGGTTAGACACCCTAGTTGCCTTCTATATAGTCTGAATGATCAATTCCAATAGTCCTCTCTTCTTATTGCCCTAAAACCCTTGATCAGCTGTCTGGCCAGAGGTATATGGGTATGGAGATTTAGGGAGGGTCTCAAGAGATAGTACTATGTTACCATGACATTTTCTAATGCACACTATAATTCTTCCATAGGATATCCACATTGGGAAAAGCCAGTCACAGAGCAAGGTGGAAAGAATGTTCCTGTTCTTGTTTAAAATAAATGAATAAAAGTATATGCATGGACCATTTCCCCAGATAATTTCAGTAATTAGCCCTGGGAAGATGGATAACAGGCAATGGATAAATAGATAATGGATTAATTTTTTTCTTTCAGTTTGACCATAATCCCTATATATCTTTGTCCAGTGAAATGGGTTCATGAACTACAGAAAGAAAACGAATGATCTCTGTATAAAAAAAATTACATCTATTTTAAATAATTATTTTAGTTTTTAACTTATGGTTAAAATATTTAAAATATAGGGCCTAATGAAAGGGGGATTTGATGTCTTACCTTTTAGCAAATGGCAGTAGGCCATGAATGTAAAGACACTAAACATTCTCATCGTTCTGGAGTGACCTAATTATGGAAAATGCAAAAAGAAAAATGTTTTATTTATTTATTTATTTATAAAGATTTTTTTAAAATAATACTTTTTAAGATTTTATTTATTTATTCATGAGAGACACAGAGAGAGAGAGGCAGAGACACAAGCAAAGGGAGAAGCAGACTCCACGCAGGGAGCCCAATGTGGGACTCGATCCCAGGACTCCAAGATCATGCCCTGGGCTGAAGGCAGGTGCTAAACTGCTGAGCCACCCAGGGATCCCCTAGAAAAGTGTTTTATTCAATAACTGAATACCCAGACATTATGGGTCTGATAACCAGAAAATGACTGATTTATAAGTGTGGAAATGCAGTAGGGGAATTTAGAAGTTTAATACCCTTACTTAATATCCTACAGTCATAGAAAGCCAAAAGGAAGAAAGCTACAATGATGAGAATCTTTAAATGTAATTATAAGGCCTGAAAAAAACTTATACTGAACACTCAAAAGAGGCCAACAAGAAAATGGTGCACTAAAATTCTCAACTATTTCATGTTTCTTCTGCAGTGGAACTTATCTAGAAATCCAAACTTGCCCTGTGCAAAATTTCAAAGCAAGGACAATCTAACGTCCACATCTCCCAACTTTTAATACTTTTTCTTCCTTCCTAGTCCCTGAATACTTTCATCCTATTCTTAGCTACTGAAGCATTCCACATCACTATCTCAACCATGACACTTCTCTCCCAGGTGCCATCCTTCAGAAATCTCCTCTTCTGTCCTTGGCTTATTGCAAATTATAAATTCTATTCTCTCAATAAATTGATTCTACTAGTAGTGGCAGTGAGAAGAAGCAGCTGTTGAATTTGACCAATTCATACTAAGATGTGAATAACTTATAGCCACTCTTTCTGCTTAGATTCTATTCTTCATTTTGTCATCCTACTTGAAATTCTACCAATTCTTTCATTCAGCAAACAATGATTGAACACTTCTGTCCCAGGCACTGTTTTAGGTACTAAGGACACAGCAGTGAACAAGAAAATCACTCTCATTTTGGACCTTATATTTAAGTAGGGAAATAAATAAGTAGAATGGAAAGAACCCTAGAAACTCAAACATCAGAGTTGAGGTAGAATAATGATATTTGATTACTTTTATGTTTTTCTTCATTATTAAAATAATATAAATACAACATAGAAAATGAGAAAAGAAGGGGAAAATCACCCACTATTCCATTACTTTAACCCAGGAAACATTTGCTAATGTCTAGAAATATTTTTGATTCTCAAAATGCAGTGGAGTAGGGGTAAGGACCTCTACTCTCTAGTGGTAAAGGCAGGAATCCTGCTGCTGACCATCCTACTATGCACAAGACAGCCACCATAGCAGAGATATATCCAGGCCAAACTGTCAATAGTGCCAAGGTTGAGAAACTTTGCAGCCACTGTAAGCATTCCAGTATATATTTTTCTTCTAGTCTTTTCCCCTATGAATCTTCACAGAAACCATTATAACCTTATCAGACATTTAACACTTTTTTTCATTTAATATTAAAATATAAATATTCTTCATTTTATTGAATAATATATTCATAAGTATTTTAGTGTTCCCATAATGTTTAGTTCCCCTATTGTTAGGTTTAAGATTGTTTCCAATTTTTAAAATACCATACATAGGGATCCCTGGGTGGCGCAGCGGTTTGGTGCCTGCCTTTGGCCCGGGGCACGATCCTGGAGACCCAGGATCGAATCCCACGTCGGGCTCCCTGCATGGAGCCTGCTTCTCCCTCTGCCTGTGTCTCTGCCTCTCTCTCTCTCTCTCTCTCTGTGACTATCATGAATAAAATAAATAAAATCTTAAAAAAATAAAATAAAAAATAAAATAAAATAAAATACCATACATATTTGTGTATTCAGCAAACATTTGTTAAGTGCCTACTTATGCCAGGCCACAGGCCAGGCCCTGACAACAGATTTCCCAAACTGGAATTGTGGATCAAGAAGAAAGAACATCTTCCTGGTTCCTGATATATGCAGATAATTGTTACATTGTATCTTCCACTGGGTATGATTTAAAAATTTTTTTTTCTAATTTGATTATTGAAGAGTTACAATTTGAATTTTTCATGGGTTTGTTGATTATCTTGGTTCTTTTGTAAATTACTTCTTCATTTTCTGGCCTTTTTATCTTACTAGTTTCTTATCAATCTGCATAAACCCTTCACATTCATATACATATATATGGGTAAAAATAAAAAATGATAAAGTAAGATCAAGTTGTCATCCTCTTGTCAGTGTTAGGTGCATAATTCTTACTTCTGTCCTTTCTCTCTGCCCTGTACATGGGGAACAGGGCAGCATGGGAGCCTGTGAGACCATGAAGCCTGCTCGAAATAAGGCTGCAGAAGCTGTCTCCCTGCCCTTTCCTTGGGCCAGAGTAGATTACATCACAATTATAAAATACTGTGATATTATAAACAGAAATCTAATTATTGTGCAAAAGGAAACTGAAGATACCCCTAACTCCAAGCAAAGAACTGTTGAATGAGACAAAGGGAAACAAAATCCACTCATGGGTTAAAACTAGTTTTGCCAATGTTTATGGCATACGCTGGTGGAGTTCCTATCCTTTAAAGAACTGGTTGAAAATTTTAGGGGTAATAAAAGTTTACTGGAAGCTGATGGGTTAGGGCTGCTATTTCCCTAATTCCTCATGATACTACTTTTTTGAAGGTTCCTTTCCCTTGGAGTAAGGCTGTCATTAGTGGGGGGACAAAAATGTAGGACAGAGCCCATGTGAATAGCCATGGTCTTTAACCTATAATCCCCACATCAGGGCAGTTAGTATAAGACAACACTGACACCTTCAAGTAAGAAACTATGATGGTATTGTCTGGATTCCCAGACAAGAGCATTCAAAGAGCAAGGAAATGTGAACTAGGGAAGAAGTTATGGTTCATTCAGGATGGGGAAGCAGGTTTGTCCCTGGGGAACCCAGTATAACACTACGGAACTGAGAGTGTTTCTGTATCTCCCAAGCGTAACAAGGCAGGAGGAAAAGACAAGGAAAATAATTGTATGCTTCCAGGTGGCTTCAAATCCCCACACCATTTCTACAGCTTCTTCTAGGACTACCCTTAACTACTGTCCTGTAACTACTGTCTACTCTCTTCAACTGAAAAAGGCTTATTTTTTTCTTTAGACTACCATCATTCTTAAAAACTGCGGGCAACTGTCAATGTAAACTGGCTCTTTCTTGAAGGTGATTTTCAATTTGTGTGAAAAGGCCTTTAAAATATTCAGACTCTTTGCCTAAGTAGTTAAACTTATAAGAGTTTATCTGAAGGAAATAATCAGTAATGTCCCAGAGATTTATAAGCAATCATGTCCACTGAGTGGCTAAGACACTTAACCACTGTAAATAATCTTTATGTCCAACATGGGGTATTAATTTTGTTTACCCAGTACCATGCCATGCAGCCATTAAAAAAAAGAATACACACACACATATACTATCTAATCCATTGAAAATCACATAAGGTATTTTTGTAGGTGCAAAGTGGAACAGTGATACTTGAAGGGACTCCCTGTGTTATGAGACAAAGACAATGGTCTTCCTCCTTCAGGACTCCTGTAGGTCCTTAGGGCAGATAGAGCAAAGAGCTCAGGTTGGGGTATCCTGGCTCTTACTCACAATAGGAGGGAGCTTTAGGAGAGCTGGATGACACTCAGACCCTACTGCTAGTGAGCAACTGAGGGTGGACGAAGACCCCAGTGTCCGACCTCCAGCCTAGGAGTTTCCCTCTAGACCCAGCTACCTACCTCAGGACCATATTCACGAACGCACAGAAACATAGACTTACAAAATCATTATTAAGCAAAAACGGAGTCCCACCCCGCACTCCCCCTCCCCGCTGACGAAAGTCAAAAGTCCTAGCTGCTCCTACCAGCCTATGCAGGGAAGAGCTCTACTACCCCATCAAACCACCGCGCTTTCCCCCGGCTCTTCTCTCTCCATCCCACAGGAAAGGTCTACAGACCAGCTACTTTTTAAAAGTGCCACCCGGAGACGGCCGAAGACGCCAACCAGTGGGCACCTGCCGGGGGAAGGATGCCCCCTACCTGCTGGCGGGAGCTGGCGGCGGGCGGGCGGGAGGTGCTGCACGCGGGGTCGGGGCCGCTGGGACTGCCGGCGCCGGGGATGCTCGCTAATGAGGCGGCGGAGCCGGGGGCGCGAGCTCCCCGCCGCCCCCCCGCCCGCCACGCCTCCTCTGGGCCGGGCTCCGCGGCCAGCCCCGCCCCGGGCCTCCCCGCCGCCCCGCCCCCCTCCGCCGCCTCCGCTCCACCCCGCCCACCCCCGCCCGGCGCCCGGCGCCCGACCTCCCCGACCTCCCCGACCTCCCCGACCTCCCCGACCTCGCGGCGGGCCCCAGCCGGAACCCGGCTCCACTCGCCCATCCTCCGGCCCGCTGGGAGGACCGCACCGCCCTTCCCTTCACACCGCCCAGCCCTGGAAAACGGGGAAATTAGTGGATTCTGCACTCCTGGGCGGGGGGAGATAGAGCGAAACCGAAAGCGAACTTTACCATTCCGGTTTCTCGTAAATCAGCTTTTAAAGAGAAAAGCTCCAAGGAGAAAACAAACAACATGCCCTATTTTTAAAACAGAATTTTTAAAATGAGCCAACGTCTGAATGAAATGAAGATTTCAGACCGTCAGTTTCGTCTTTAGGATCTTAGGATCTGGACACTTTAAATCTGACATCAGTGTCGTGCCCCCCCCCCCCCCCCCCGTTGATCAAGAGCTTTTGGATAATGAAACATCTTCACATAATTTGATATCATCCTACAGTATATACGAAATGACGGGCCCACAGGCTTTGGTTTTTATTCTAGAAAGTCAATGTGCCTATAATAGGAAATATATTTTTTTAATACGTGGATTTTGAGGACTTCCTCAAAGTTCCTCGACATAATGAAACTTAAATTGCTTTGTCATTAAAGAACTTTCTATCACCGGTTACACCTTTTAAGAATGCTCTGGCTCCCTCGGGATCCAGATTAGGTGAACACATTTCAGATGAATATTAAGAAACCCCTTCTAATGATAACTCCAGCTCAATGGACCAGCAAAGGCAGAAACCAAGTGTCCCACAGAGAAGGTGATGGCACAATTGACTTAAGCATTCCCCGCTGCTGGACTTCTAGGTGTTTTCCTCTTTCTCCTTCCTTCTTCTCCTCCTCCTCCTCCTTCTCTCTCTTTCTAATTTTAAACTGATAAAAACTCATCATGTCACTTGCCTGCTTATTCATTTCAGCTGCAATTCAAAATAATGCATAGCAAATGAATATGGAGATGTCCATCGGCTTGACTATGGCATTTGCTTCCCAAGTAAGAATTTTCACATTCTCAGAATATCATATATATATATTTTTTTCTTAACTTGGAAAAATACTTAGGATGATACTGCCTTAAAAGTCTGTAGAAGAGTATGAAATTCTGTTTAGTCTCAATAAAGCTGTAATAGACTTGGATTCAGCTGAGATATTCCCTCTTTCAAAACTCTCTCTCTTTTTTAAGATTTTATTTATTTATTTGAGGGGAGGGGAGAGGGCCTGAGCAAGGGGGAGAGGGAGAAAAAGACAACCCGCTCACCACCTGCAGCTTGGTCCAGGCACCCTGTGATCATGACATGAGCTGACGGCAGATGCTTAACTGACTGAACCACCCAGGTTTACTCAAAAGAAGTCCCATCCTCAAAAGATGGGACTATACCAAGCCAAGTGGTGTAGCACTTCCTAGGGATGCTTGCCATAGGACGGCGAGAAAAAGAATTAAGATTGAGGTCTGGGTATGGTTTTTTTGTTGTCCCCAGGCAGCACAAAGACATATTGTGTCCTTCTTGTGAAGAGCTGAAAAGAAAAGGGAATAGATAATAAAGTGGATCATTTTATTCACCAGCGTTCAGAGACTTAAGTATTATTTTTCAATATTTCTGCTGTCAGTTTATGTTTCCTTAGAGAGCTATTATATGCTTGGCCTGAACCATGTGAAGCCTTGGCTTTATTCACATTACACTCTGAAATATAATTGCCCCTTGCTCAGAAAAGCTTTCTTTGGCTTTACTGTTCCCTTAAATTACTGTCTTCTCTGTTACTCCATTTCAATGGCAAACCTCAGGAAACTGTATCATAACTTTCTTTAACTATCAAATTAACAAAACAAAATGCAATAATTATAATAAAGATTAATACAGTAATAGTAAAGCATGTAGCATTTTTTTACATGCTTAAAGGCACTGTCTTGGTAATTTACATATACTAACGCATTTAAAATTTTATCCTATGAATTAGGTACTGTTATTGCTCCTATTTTAGAGATGTGGATACTGAGGCAAAGTGTTTAAGTAACTTGTTTAAGCTTTTTTCACAGTTAGGAAGTGGCACAGCCAAAATTCCAATCCAGGCACTCTGGCTCCAATATCTATACTTTTTTTTTTTTTTTAAAGATTTTATTTATTCATGAGAGAGACAGCCAGAGAGAGGGGCAGAGACACAGGCAGAGAGAGAAGCAGACTCCACGCAGGGAGTCTGATGTGGGACTCAATCCTGGGACTCCAGGATCACGCCCTGGGCAGAAGGCAGGTGCTCAATCACTGAACCACCCAGACATCCTCAATATCTATACTCTTAACTACTAAACAAATATGCAGCGATTTAGTATCCTCATTCACTACTGGTGGCACTGTGTATTTGATCAACCTCAAAAAATGAAACAGAGTTGCCATATGACCCAGTAATTCTTCCATTTTTACCCAAGAACTGAAACATATGGTGTGGGACCCAGGAAATTTAACAAAAATCCCCTACCCCTGGACAAGCGGAGCAGGACTGATTCCATTTTGTGCTACACCCGCCACCTCCTGTATGACCCCCACATAACCTGCTTATTGCTAAAGGCGCTGCCCCACCCTGGTCAAGCCACTGGGCACACCCTAATCGAAATCGGCTCATAACAATGTAACCCTGCTTTGTGCCCACCAAAACTACGCGCCAATTCTGACCAAAGTAATAGGCCAGCTCAAATGGATACTATAGGGTAAGATGTAATTCAGTCGGCCACCTGCGTGTTGACCGACATGACTGTGCAACTTTCTGTGTATCCCATGGGCCACTGGCCCCTATAAAGCCGCTACACCTCTTAGTCTCGGGGTCCAAGTCCCTGCTCCGCTGTGTCGGGTATACTTGGACCCAAGCTCGAGCTTGTAAATAAACCCTCGTGTGTTTGCATCAGAGTTGGCTCCTCGGTGGTTTCTCGGATTCGCAATCTTGGGCACAACAATGAGACGCCTGGGTGGCTCAGCTGTAGAGCCTCTTTGGTTTAGGGCGTGATCCCGGGATCTGGGATTCAGTCCCACATTGGGCTCCTTGCAGGGAACCTCCTTCTCCCTCCACCTATGTCTCTGCTTCTCTCTCTGTGTCTCTCATAAACGAATAAATAAAATCTTTTTAAAACCTCTGAAACATATGTACAAAAGTACACACTCATGTTCATAGCAGCATTACAACAACACAAAGTGGGAATAAAATAAAATATTCAACAATTTTGAATGGATAGACAAAATGTAGTTTATCCATGCCTTTGGCTTTTATTATTTTTTATCCATATATTTGAGTATTATTCAGCCATAGAAAGGTTTGAAGTACTGATATATGCCACAACTTGAAAGAACCCTGAAAATCTTATGCAATGTTGAAGAAGCCAGGTGCAAAAGACCAACATATTGTATGACTCTTTATGTGAAATGTTTAGCATAGGCAAATTTTCTTTCTTCGGGGACACCTGGTGGCTCAGCAGTTGAGCGTCTGCCTTTGGCTCAGGGCTTCATCCCAGGGTCTGGGATTGAGTCCCACATCAGGCTCTCTGCATGGAGCCTGCTTCTCCCTCTGCCTGTGTCTCTGCCTCTCTCTCTGTCTCTGTCTCTCCTGAATGAATGAATAAATAAATAAATAAATAAATAAATAAATTTTTTAAAATTTTCTTTCTTTAGAAAGAAAGAAAATCAGGGATTACCAGGGGCTGGAGGAAGTGAGAGAATGTACAAAGCTCAGTACAAATTGTGGTTCAAATTGTGCTCAAGCTACAAGTACACTCCATGCCTGAAGTGCGAATTTAAAATTTAGACTGTGTTCCCCATGGGGAACCATTCCAGAATAGCTTAATATGAAGGGCTAGCCTCAGCCCACACTGTGCAACCACTTGGCTCTCCTTCACAGACTGAAGTTCTCGGCTAAACCTAGTTCCCAGAAAATGAAGAATTTCACACTCTTGTGAAAGCATCTCTGTTTTTTTTTTTAAGATTTTATTTTTTTTATTCATGAAAGACACACACACAGAGAGACAGAGACACCGGCAGAAGGAGAACCAGGCTCCCCACAAGGAGCCCGATGTGGGACTTGATTCCAGACCCCAGGATCATGCCCTGAGCCAAAGGCAGACGCTCAACGGCTGAGCAACCCAAACATCCTAAAAGCATCTCTGTTAAAAAGATACTACTATGCATATCTTGAATTTTCAAAAACTTTGTTTTTTAAAAAACTACTTTATGGTATACAATGGTAAATAATTTTACTAAGTCCCAGGGGAGAGGATTTTCAATTATTTTACATCAGTTCTCTCTAATATGTTTATGTTTATACTATTTAACCCAATATTTACAATCAATATATATGAAGTTGGTCATCACAGTGTTATTGACAGTAGCAAAAAACAATCCATCAGTGAAAATTGTATACATACTTGCAGAAAATCATATACCTTTTAAAAATGGCACAAATGAATGCTACATAACAATATGAAAATCCTTATGCTAAAATGATCAAGAGCACCTATTTGTATGTGTGTGTAAAAAAGATACACACCTACATTCACAAATTCATAGTTAGAAATGATGCACATACCTATTAAAGTTATATGTCATTTGTTATATGTCCTCCACACCTGGAGGAGGGGCCATCTGACACAGCGCTATGTAGTGGAATGGGAGCACCCCTGTCCATCCATCTACTCTTCGTTACCTGTCCATAGAGAAAGCAGAACAAAAACTGGGAGCAAGCCGCTGGAAATTTTATGACTATTTGACAGGTTATCACATCTGCTAAGTCTAGTACCGAAGAAGCATACAAAGGATTTAGCTTTATGAAGAGTGGAAGTCCAGGACATTCCAGGCCCAGGGACTGGACATATCAAGGTCTGAGTCTTTAGGGTTTACAAGATGCCTCCACAGAAACTGTCTCATCGGAGGATTCACAAGCGAGACCAGGAGTACCATCAGCCCTATTTTAGAGACCAGGAGAGGAGGCCAAACGGAGGAGAGAGGCTCCAAGGTCATGCATGTGGCAAATACAACACCGGCCCATGTCATCTGTTTCCATTCTGCTACCGCTCACCTCCTATGGTTTCAACAAAACCCTGGTAGCAGGTAGCAGGCGCAGGTTCCATTTGCATGGAATGCCTTCTGTCCTGCAACCTGGCATTGGACCTGACCTGCTTCCTCTCCTGGCCCTGAAGAGTCGTTTTCCGAGGGCCAGCCAGCTTGAAGACCTTCAAACCTCAAAGCTTCCTACCTTTCTGACTGTATGTCCCACATCAGCCCCTGCTCACTGGCTCCTTTCCTTTTCCTGAACATCCTAATCCCTTCCCACCTTAGTTGGGAATGTGGAGGCAATGCCAAGGCCAGCTCATTGGAGTGCCAACTCAAGTTTCCCTCCCTCAGGAGTCCATCTCTGGCCATCTTATCCAAAGTAGGCCACCCATCCCACCCCCATCCTCTCTGCAGCCAGCCGATCCCATTACCCTATTTTGGTCTCATCATGGCCCTTATCTCTCTCAGAAATTCTTATCCATTGACTTATTTGCCACTTGCCTTCCTCCTATCAACATATAAATGCCATAAGAGAAAGGAAAAAATAAAAAAATAAAAGTAAAAAATAAATAAATTTCCTTTAATCTCTTACCCCACATTCTATTAAATGTGTTCAATACATATGCCTAGATTTCTCTCAGTTCCCAAGGTATATATTCTCATGGTCACTTTTTTCACTTATATTTTAAGATTGTGAACAATATCCTACATAGAAGAATATAATGTAGATATACAATTTAAAGGGTCAATGCTGAGAACAAGGCAAACCTAGAAGGTTGGGTTAGTATTTGCTCTTAGGGTGACTGGACACCTTCACTGATGTGGTGGTCAGCTAGGGCTAAGGGCAGGGATGGATCTTCCTCAGGGCTGGAGTCTCCTGAAGTACATGCTATTCTCTCAACTCATTTAGTAGCAAAGAATAGAGTACCAACAGTTCCTCAAGTCTTTTCTCCATAAGGCTAACTAGGAGAGAGGCTTGATCTACTCAAGATGGAAACTGTTCGTGGGGTGAGAAAAAAATAGATATTTCTCAGAGCAGCAGGGGAAAAAGATGACTTTTCCAAAACAAAATTAGTAACTCTTACCAAATCTGCTCTTTTTCATTTCCTGTCTTAACCTTTTTGCCACTTTATGATGGCAATTTAACAGAGGAAGAGACTGAGGCTCCAATAGATTGGGTAAACTGTCTGTGTTTAGGGGCACCTCAGTGGCCCAGTCAGTTAGGAGCATGACTCTTGGTTTTGTCTCAGGTTGTTTCTCACGATCCTGAGTTGGAATTCCTGGTAGAGCTCCCTGTGGAGTCTGCTAAAGACTCTCTCTCTCTGCCCCTCCCCATCCATGTGCACACATGTGCATTCTCTCTCTCTCCCAAATATAAATAAATCTTTAAACTGTGTCCAGACTCAAACAGAAAAAAAAATCCACCCTCAACATTAAACCTATTCTGCAAACAGAAAAGCTATTAAAATGTTTATAACTGTGAAAACTCTGATCAAAGTAGGTTTAGAAAGAACATACCTCAGCATAATAAAGCCATATATTAAAAACCCACAGTTAACATTATACTTTGTAGTGAAAAACCGAGAAATTTTCCTCTAAGATCAGGAATAAGACTAGGATGCACTCTGTTTCCACTTTTATTCAACACAGTACTGGAAGTCCTAGCCACAGCAATCAGACAAGAAAAGAAATAAAAAGCTTGCAAAGTGGTAAGGAAGAAGATAAACTGTCACTATTTGCAGATGACATGACACTGTACATAGAAAGCTCTAAAGACTCTATAAAAAACTATTACATCTAATAAGTTCAGTAAAGTTGCAGGATACAAAGTTATCATACAGATATCAGTTGTGTTTTATACATTAATAATAAAGTAGCAGAAAGAGAAATTAAGAACACAATTCCATTTATAATTGTACCAAAAAGAATAAAACACCTACTATTAAACATAACCAAGGCGGTGAAAGACCTGCACTCTGAAAATTATAAAACACTGATGAAAGAAACTGAAGACAACACAGACAAGTGGAAAGATATTCCACACTCATGGATTGGAAGAATTAGTATTGTTAAAATGCCCATATTACCCAAAGCAGTCTATAAATTCAGTACAATCCCTATGAAAATACCAACAGTGTTTTACACAGAACTAGAACAAATTATTTTTTTTAAGATTTTATTTATTTATTCATGAGAGACACACACAGAGAGAGACAGAGACGTAGGCAGAGGGAGAAGCAGGCTTCTCGCAGGGAGGGCAATGTGGGACTCAATTCCAGGACCTGGGATCATGACCTGAGCCAAAGGCAGGCAGACATTCAACCACTGAGCCACCCAGGTGTCCCAAAACTAGAACAAATTAATACTAAGATTTGTAGATAACCAAAAAAGAAAAGATCTTGAATAGCCAAAGCAATCTTGAGAAAGAAGAACAAAGCTGGAGGTTTCACAATCCCAGATTTCAAGGTATATTTCAAAACTGTAATATAAATAGTAACAGTATGGAACTACCCAAGAATAGACACATAGATCAATGGAACAGTATTGAGAGCCCAGAAATAAACTCACATTTATATGGCCAATTAATCTACAACAAAGAAGGCAAGAATATACAATGGGGAAATGAATGGTCTGGGAAACTGGAGAGCTACATGCAAAAGAATGAAACCGAGCCACTTTCTTACACCATACACAAAAATAAACTCAAAATGGATTATAGACCTAAATATGAGACTTGCAACCATAAAACTCCTAGAAAAAAAACCATAGGCAGTGATTTCTTTGACATTGGCCTTAACAACATTTTCCTATGCATGTCTCTTCAGGCAAGGGAAATAAAACAGAAACTCCTGGGATTACACCAAAATAAAAAGCTTTTGCACAGCAAAGGAAACCATCAACAAAATAAAAAGGCAACCTACTGAATGGGAGAAGATAGTTGCAAATGATACATTTGTTAAGGGCTTAATATTCAAAACATACAAAGAACTTATACAACTCAACACCAAAAAAAAAAAAAAATCCAATTAAAAAATGGGCAGATGGGGACGCCTTGGTGGCCCAGCAGGTGAGTGTCTGCCTTTGGCTCAGGGCATGATTCTGGGGTCCAGGGATCAAGTCCCACATCGCTCCCTGTAGGGAGCCTGCTTCTGCCTCTGCCTGTGTCTCTGCCTCTCTCTCTGTGTGTGTCTCATGAATAAGTGAATAAAATCTTATTTAAAAAAATGGGCAGATGACCTGAATATACATTTTTCCAAAGCAGACATACATATAACCAATAGATACATGAAAAGACACTCAACATCACTCAACAGCCAGGGAAATGCAAATCAAAACCACAATGAGATGTCACCTGACACCTGTAAGAATGGCAAATCAAAAAGACATGAAATAACAAGTATTTGCAAGAATGTGGAGAAAAAGAAACCCTCATGCACTGTTGGTGGGAACGCAAACTGGTGCAGCCACTGTGGAAAACAGTATGGAGGTTCTTAAAAAATTAAAATTAGAATTACCATATCCAGTAGCTACACTACTAGGTATTTACCCAAAGAAAATGAGAACACTAATTGAAAAAGATATATGCACCCCTATGTTTATTGCAGCATTATTTATACCTGCCAACATATAAAAGTGACCTAAACATCCATCAATAGATGAATGGATAAAGAAGAGGTGGTATATATACGTGTACACACACTGGAATATTACTCGCCCGTAAAAAAGGAGATCTTGCCATTTGTAACAACATGGATGGACGTAGGTGGTATTATGCTAAGTGAGGTAAGTCAGAGAAAGAGGAAGACAAATGTTATATGACTTCGCTTATATGTGGAATCTAAAAAACAAGTGAATAAACAAACAAAAGCCAAAACAGACTGTAAATACAGAGGAGAAACTGATTCTTGCCAGATGGGAAGGCCATAAGAGGATGGGCAAAATGGGTGAAGGGGACCGGGAGGCAGAGGCTTCCAGTTATAGAGTAAGTGACGGGGAATAGAGTCAGGTCCTACGGGGACAGCATAAGGCATAAACTTGTCAAACCACTAGGTTGTACACTTGACACTAATGTAACATTGTGCGTCAACTATACTTTTTAAAAGCACACACTAGGCCTCAGCCAGGCGAGCGGCCCCTTTAAGGAAGCAAGGGCTGCGCTGATTGGCCGAGGCTCCGTCAGGGCCACCCAATCCCGAGGCTCTGCGGGGCGAGTTCCGGTCCCGGCGCGGTCAAGGAGCCCCGGGCCTGCAGGCCTCCGCCTCGAGTGCCGGTCGCACCTCCGCCGCCCGCCCCCGGTGAGTGCGCGCCCCAGGACTGCCCGCGGGCCGAGGGCTGGTGGGGAGGGCGGGGCTGCCCGGCCCCCTGCACTCCGGGCCGCGCTAGGCGCCCGCTCCTTGGGGCACCCCCCCGGGCCCCCCTCCCGTCCCCAGTGCTGAGCGGCGTGTCCCCTACCTCGTTCCAGGAGAGCCACTCCTCCTCGCAGGGACTCCAGGCCCCTCCCGTATCGACGTCACGGAGTTGGGGAAAGCCGGCCGAGCCCTGTCCGTGGGAATCAGCACAGCACTGCAGGAAATCCCCGAGTTTCAACAATTGGGTGTGCATTAGGGAAAACATCCCGGAAGCTGTGGGTGGATTCTGACCTGGAATATGTAGAGGAAGTGGGTGTGAATGGAACGTAAAAATTTACAGAGACTGATTGTAATTGTGGCACCAGTCATAAGTGTAGGTAAAGTGTCATTTGACTAGGAAATGAATCAGCACAGACATTTGGATAACAAAAGTCCATAGGTCATGAACTTATCTCTCTCTCTCTTTCCGTCTCTCTCTCCCTCTTAATACGTAAATCAAATGCTAGATCCCTGCGGTGACTGGAGGAAGGCTGCCTAGAACTTGCAGCCCCCTGCACTCCTCAGAAATACCCATTCCCACTGTGAATCACTGCACAGCTGAGAGGGGCTGGAGCATTAAATAGCCCGTTTTAAGGTCTCAGGTAATCAAAGGAAAAATGAAGTCAGAAGGGACCAAATCAGCATTCTCAGCATTCTCTCCCGCTGAGACAGACTGGTATCTTAGTTGTTAAGTAGCAAGACATTTGGCACCAGTGATAAAGTGTTAGGATTTTTAGAAGATTTATCTTATTCAATTGAGTGAATTCAAAATTGCAAGATCACTCTTGCTTGGTTTCTGATACATATTTTGTGACTGGGAGAGAGAAAACAGAGTATTCTGACCATCCTAAGGAGCTTCCTAGACTCTGGAAATGGCTTTGTTAGGGTGGGGAAGGAGAAGGAAGCTGAAACTACTGAACTCTAGGGCATAGTTTAAAAGGTGTACACTCATTTTCAGGTGTGGTTTCCCTTAAGGAACACAAGGAAGCTCTTCATCCTGCTTGGATTCTGCCTTTAACCCTTGGGAGTGTCCTCCAACACATCCGCACCACCATCTAGACCCAAGAAACCAAGGCCAGAACACAGGTAATCCTGCACTATAATCTTCCAGATAGTTTCTCTTCCCTTGATGGCTGACAAGAGGACTCCACTTCAGTAGAGATCGCACCCCCTTATAAATGGGGGCACTCTAAGAGACACATTTCGTATGGGTGTGTGTGTGTGTGTGTGTAGGAATGAGATTAGAGGACAGTTTTCTTTATAAATGTTTGCAGCATATGTAAAAATTCAGCTATCTATTCCTACATACAGAAAAAAAATAAGGAATGGCAAGTGACCTGAGCTAGGTTTCTCTTGTACCATTCATGCTCTATTCAAATATTTATGCAAAAAAGACATCATGGGAACTGCCAAGATGGATAATATATTGCTCTTTCCTTCAAACAAGTTCTGGTCTGCTGTTGGAGATAGCTGACTGGGGGTGTCAAAGTCTGCAGAAACTTCTGTTAGGTCTCCCTACCCTCATGAGGTAGCCTCTAATAGAGGATGGAATGGGGCAGTGGCAGAAGGGGAGTGAAACTTAATGGCCTGCCTCTTCTCTACAGTGAGTGGTTCAGCCTCCTATGCCCAGCATTGAGGCTGACTCTGGCTCAGAGGCCCTTGTAATTCAAGAATGTAGCTATGGCCAGAATCCAGGGAAGCCACTGAAATCTGGCTTGTAGTTCTCACTCACCTGGAGCCAAATTAGCAAGGATGACTCATTCTACTTGTCTGGCATGAAATGCCCTCCCTCCCTTAGCATCATCTCCCCAATTAGCCAGAACCCACTACTTCCTGATGAGGGTATGGAAAATAGAAGCTCTGCTGGGTTTCTCACAGAAGAGTGTGAGTCCTGGATAGAAAGCATTGAGACTGGCCACTGTGACCTAAGTTTCACAACCCTGCTCAGTAGCCTACCAAAGAGAATCAGCAATATCATTGAGGATAGAGCAACTGGAACTTCCATGAGTTTTGCAATCTTCTGAAAGTAAAATTAATCTAACTGAAGGCCTTCTGTATCTACACAATTGGGTTAAGAACAAAAAATTGAAATTTTGGCCCCTAGAAGTGATGGCCCATTTAAGAACTTCTTAAGTAAGATAAATAAGATAAGAAATACCGTGTATTCATTTAAAAATTGCTTTTCCCAGGACATTTAAGTATCATTTTGTTCTTTCCCTCTTGAGAACTTTAGCAGTAGCCTGCAGAGAACAAAGGTGAAGCCTGAAGAGGGTATGTAGGAGAGGGACAGGGATTACAGGAAGAATTTTGACATAGTGACCTTGAGACACCTGAAACTTCCTAAAATACAAATGCAAGGAGCACAGAAGCCTGTCCTCAAGGTGTGCAATGCATCTTCTGAATCACCCCTTCTCAGAAGCAAAGTTTCTGTCATCCAACTGTACAGAAGTTAAGAAGATGGACAGTATCCAACTGGTCCCTCACACACACAAAAAAGAGGTCTTTTTGTTTGTTTGTTTTAAAGTATTCAGTTCTTCAAGATTTACAGTGGGAAGAAAAATCAGGAAACATGGAGCTGTATACTCATAGAGTGGGAGAAAATTTTAGAAGTTACCTAAGTTCTGTCCACTGGTCTTAGGTGAGCAAATGTTGGCCAGGCTGGTTAAGTTTGCCCAAGATCAGACAACTACTTAGAAGCAAGGACTAGGGCAGCCTGGGTGGCTCAGCGGTTTAGCGCCCCCTTCAGCCCAGGGCGTGATCCTGGAGACCTGGGATCGAGTCCCACGTCAGGCTTCCTGCATGGAGCCTGTATCTCCCTCTGCCTGTGTCTCTGCGCCTCTCTCTCTCTCTCTGTGTCTCTCATGAATAAATAAATAAAATCTTAAAAAAAAAAAAAAAGCAAGGACTATATAATCCATGCTGTATTCCCAGGAAATTTTTTACATTGTTATAAGTGTATGGTAGCTCAAAGTATATCATATGAGGGCATATGCAGAATATATTGTTTTAAGCCTCTTTGCTTTTTCACATTTTAGGTCAAGATGGGGTTTATTTTCTCAAAATCTATGAATGAAAACATGAAAAACCAACAGGAGTTTATGCTTATGAATGCTCGACTCCAGGTACATTTTCAAATAATTAAGCTTTTATGTTGTTATAGTCGTTTCCACAACATGTACTCCAGCAGTACTGTTCTCTTTCACTGCAAAGGGTGAAATGTTTTTTGTGCTCCATCCTCAGAATCAAGATGAAATGCATTATTAGTTATCTGGTGAATGGGTGTGTTTATACCTCCAATCCTGATACTTGTGTACAAGTTCCATACTGAAGACATGCTGCTTAGAGTGTAGGGTAAGTAGAATAATTCCTCTCCCCTTACCAAATATCTGCATCCTAATCTCCTCTGAATACACTGCCTTACATGGCAAAAGAGACTTTGCAAGTGATTAAGTTAAGGAGTTTGAGACAGAGATGATGCTCAATTATCCTGGATTATCTGGATGGGCCCAATGTAATTACAAAGGTCCTTATAAGGGATAGAAGAAGGTAAGAGGGTCAAAGTTAGAAAGAGAGATCTGAAGATGCTACACCGCTGGCTTTGAAGATAGAGTAAAAGGCAAAGGAATTCAGGTAGCCTCTAGAAGCTAGAAAAGGAAAGGATACAGATTCTCTCCTAGAGCTCATAGGGAACACAGTCCCACCAGCCCACTTTGGATTTCTGACTCCAGAACTATAAGTTAATTAATTTACATTGTTTTAAGCCACTAAATTTGATAATTTGTTATAGCAACATTAGGAAATTAATATATAGTGTGAAAACTTGACATTGGATTTATGCATAGGTTGGAATAGAAAAGATCAAAGCAATGTAGAAGATTGTCTAATTTCCTATTAGAGGTTGTCAAAAAGGATTACAAAATGTTGTATGTCAAAATCAAGTGCTTAAAGTTTGACTAAAATTATTTTCCTAAGATTTCAAGCAAAGATCTCTTGGCCTTTGTGGTTCATTATGGCCCTGAGATTAGAAGGTCCTACTGTGAGACAGTATGGCAAGGGGTTCAAAGTGAGGACTAAATCCAGGTTTGAATCCCATCCCCCACGCCCCACCCCCCGACTAACTGTATGATGTGTGCCTCAGTCTCCAGGTCTGTCAGCCGGAGGTGACAGTATCCGCTTCAGAGGGTTGTTTTGAGGAGTAATGACGGTATATAGAGAGTATACAGAACAATGCTACAGGTCTATAGAACACTGTCTTTCACCTTAAAAGTATTACGTCGCTGCTACTGTTATTACTGGTATTGAGTGTCTTGTGCAGGATAACAAATTTTTTTGGGAGAATGGAACAATTTAAAGAATGGAAACAAATTGTTGTAACAGAGCACAGTGACCTAGGGGAGAGCAAACATTAGGCATAAAAACCAGCCAAGAGGGATCCCTGGGTGGCGCAGCAGTTTGGCGCCTGCCTTTGGCCCAGGGTGCAATCCTGGAGACCCGGGATCAAATCCCACGTCGGGCTCCCGGTGCATGGAGCCTGCTTCTCCCTCTGCCTGTGTCTCTGCCTCTCTCTCTCTCTCTCTCTCTCTCTCTCTCTCTCTGTGACTATCATAAATAAATAAAAAATTAAAAAAAAAAAAACAGCCAAGAATGTCAAAGACCCAGAGAGTCCTTTCCTAAGACCTTTGGAAATGACAGACTTTACATCAGTTCCCATGAAGTCACGATATATGAAGGGCCTGGGATTTTATCCCACTCTCAAGCTAACAAATTAGCCTGTTCCTATTTCATGGACACTGGCCAATACAAGAGACACTTCCATCAGAGACAAAGGACTTCATTACTCATAGCACAGTAAGCAACATGATTGTGAGGTTGGCATGAATATCTCCATGTTCCTCGAGTCTCACAGAGGTGACAAAGATGGAGTTAAATGGATGCTGTGCACATATGAGGAATCCTGGGCTTAGGGAATCTACTGCCTTTATAAGAATCAGCAAGCTGGGGATGGGGGGGGGGGTGCGGGACTTGACCTCATTCCTCAAGGTCATTTGCCCTAAATACAACCCAGAGAAATGACCCGAATAACAGCAATCTGGGTCTTCTATCCTTGGCCTACTCAGCAAGAATGTACGGGGACATTCAGGGGCCATGGACAGTTGCCTCCCAACAACCTGCCTCTCAGCCCTATTGATCAGAGCTTTGAGAACAGCCTTGACTTCTGCCCACTGATCCCAGTGACCACTATAGCTAGTGCTAAATTCAAACTAGTAGGAACACTATCATTGCCATCAGTTTTCAGCTCAGCTGAAACAGAGGTAAACTAGGCCCATGCATTTCTCTATGAATCCAAGGGCCCAATTAAGCCAGTAGCTCTATTTCATGTGGCAGGGTAGGAGATGGAAGATTTTCCCAAAAGTGGTAGCTACTACTCCTTTATGAAATTCTGGAGTGACTTTAGGGCCAGGCCAGTCATACCCTCAAATACATTTTTATTTGACTAGCAAACAGACCCTTTCCTTGTACCTGTCATGTCCTCATCAACCCACCTCAAAACGGGATGAAGCCTGAGAGTCACAAGACTCCCTGGGTCAGGTATTCATTTTTAACAAGAGCTCAGTCATAGTCAGTCGCTTCCTCCTGCCTTTTTGAAAGGGTTATGTTATGGGTTGAATTGTATGTCCTTTCCACAATTCATATGTTAAAGTTCTAATCCCTACTATCTCAGAATATGATGTGTTTGGAGAAAGTCTTTACTGAGTCAATCAAGTAAAATGAGGTCAGTAGGATGGGCCCTAATCCAATATAAGACTGCTGTCCTCATAAAATGGGGTAAATCTGAACACAGAGGCATGCCTACAGAGAGAATGTGATGTGACTATGAGGTCAGCTATTTACGAGCCAAGGACAGAGGCCTGGAACTGATGCTAGCACATAGCCCTGGGAAAGCAACTAACCCTACTGACACCTCAATTTTGGACTTCTAGCCTCTGGAATTGAGACAATAAATTTCTGCTGTTAAGCCACCTTGTTTGTGGTGTACTTTGTTTTGACAGTCCCAGGAAACTAATACAGGAGGTATTTGGTGCCTGTCTTTGCAGGTGGTGATGCTGTATAGGCAATGGTCTCTCTGGAGATTGGCTCTGATTTTCTCTTTTTCTCCGTGGGATTCTATATTGTTTCTAATAGACCACCTGGAAGATGTCAGGGAATCCCTAAATGAGTGTCCTCTCATCACTATGAGTATTTACAATTTAAGCAAGTAAATATCAATTTCATTAGACATTTATTTGCAGGGGACATTACTGCAGTATCCTGAATCAGCTCAAGGATCACTTTCATTTCCCTTCCTTACTGCAAACTTTGCCCAAACTCATCATTTGAATTCCAGTACTTTTTTTCTCTATGGGAACACAGACCAAAGAATTTAACACAGGTACTTCAGGGGTTATCTTAGTAGTTAAGGAGATTACACTGTCTTACAGCTGGGGAAAACTGGGGAATGCAGAGGGGCAAGGACAGCTTTTTGCCCTTTGGCTCCTCATTCCCGAATTGGTACCGCTTCCTCCCCCGTGGACCCCTGGCTTCTGAAGAGTGCTGGTGTTCAGGGACATCATTCTCTTAGCCTCTACTGGTGTCATTGTTCTGCTCTGCACCCTCAGCTCTCTGGGCCATCCTGCTGCTGAGTTCAGTCTCCCCACATGGGACCAAGCATACTTGGGCACCTGTATCCAACAGAGCCATAAACATTTGAGTTCCTCTTCTCTTCTCTTTGAAGTTCCTCAGTACATCAGGCCTTCTCCCTAAAGCAGCTGAAGTTGGAGGGAGAGGCAGAGGGAGAGATTAAGCAAGGCTTTGCACTTACTCTCCATTTCAAGGCACCTCCCTTCAGCTGTAGCCACAATGCCTGCCTTTTGGCTGGGCTGTGAGACTTGCTGCCCCCATTTTCTTGATCATATCCTTTCCTTCTCCCACTCCACAGGACAACATGCCACAATCACAGCACCATCTGAGCAGCTTATTTGGATTCTACCTTTTGTTCAGCCCCATTTAACACACTGGACAGTGAGAGACCCTTTCTCTACTTTCCCACTCTTACCACCACCTGGGTGAGGCTATTTCCTACCAGATCTGAGAGTCTTTTCTTATCTAATAACCCAACCAACAAAGGCCCTTGTCCTTTCTCTTTCAGAGCACTATGTCTCTATCAGTGTCTCTTTCTTGTCACCGAAACTGGCAGGCTCTGTGAAGGGTCTGGGATTTTACACAACTTACAAGTCTGTTACTGCTTCACAGATACTGGCAGAAGACTTGTTATTTACAGTGCAGTGAGCAGCATAAGTATATTCATTATAAGCATAAGATGCTTTATATATATCCCAGATGGAGGTAGGCTTAATTGGATGCCAAGGTGGATAGAGTGGGAAACAGTAAACTGGAATCTACTACTTTTACCATGACTGGTCAGTAAGGCTGCTCTTAGATAAGACCTGTTACTTCATCTCTCAAGGTTGCTTACTGCAAATAAAACTCTGAGAAATGGCCCAGGTAAAAAGCAGTCAGAGCCTGTATCCTTGGCTTACCCAGTAAAAAGTATGGGATTGTTCATGGCCCATGCAGACTGATTCTCCCAACGTGTGTTTGGTTAAGACAATTAGTTTTTCCTTATTTATCAAGATATACTTTATTATTTATCTTCTAATTTCAAGAAAAGATGACAAAGAGAATGTAGATCAATATGGTTGAAGCATCTTTCCAACCCTAAAGCTACTTAAGTTTTGATCCTAACTGGGATAGCCTAGAGTGAAACATAATCTATAGAAATTTTTGAAAGGTTGGTGGGTCCTCAAATGCTCCCCATTTAAAGAAATTAAACTTCTAATGTCATTCCTAGGGTTTAGAGCTATTCTTTTATTGAAAAAAAGGTAGCACAAAACATTTGATACATACTAGAGAATATATTTGTAAGTTATTAAACATAATAAAATGAGCACCAATGAACCCATTACTAAATTGAAGAATCTTGTTATCACAATACTCCTGAAGCTACCCATAGATAGGCTCCATCCTACATGTTGAATGAACCCAAACAGCTAAAGCTGGCCTGGAATTGACCTCATATCCCAAGCCCCTGGGACTGAGCAGGACTCAGCAAATATAAGGAATGAGCCACTGGAATAGAAGATTACATGTCTTTGTAAGTTCTTTAAAAGATTTTTAAAAATCTCAGTTGAAACACTATGTACTAATGCCTTTAGCTTGTGACAGCATGTCTTTTGGCCCTTTTCCTATTTAAAGGCATCTCGATAAAAAAGGTAAATAGAGGAAATAGAGCAAAACTTTCATTAAAGAAAAGCCTAATGACTAGAATCCTTTTCCCAGTGTTTTTTTTTTTTTTTTCCTAGTTCTACTTTTATTTTTTGGTAAAAAAAAAAAGAAAGAAAGATAAATCATAACTCAACAATCCCATGTTATTGTTTTGTTTGTTTGTTTTCATTCAGGGAAAGGACCAGAATGAGAGATTCAGCTACATTTCATACCAGTGCCCAGGTTCCTAACTGGCTGTACATTGTACTCACCCAGGGCCCTGGGATGATGTTTAGCCCCACCCAGACCAATTAGATCTCTTCATGGTGGGGCATGTTGTTATTGCTCTAAGCTCTCCAGGGGACTGTAATGCATAGCCTGGTTTGAGACTTCTGCCTTTCCTTTTTCTATGATGCTACATAATTATAGTTAATGATTGGCAGGAATTTAGTATAATGCATATTGAAGATGGAACCAAGTAAGTTTTTAACTTAATCATGAAATTAAATCAGTCACTGGAGTCTGACTAATAAAAACTTATAAAAGGCTTCAAATCAGAAAGTTTTCTTTATGAACAACTTTAGTTCAAATTGAGCTGGAGGGGATTCATATGACTAGTTATAATGATATTTTCAGATCATCAGTAAACTTCAGTTTCTCATTGCTTTGTTTAGACTCTGTTACTGAGGATGGTAGATAGATAGCTATACTCAGTAAACTATCACTCAGATAAAAATTAATACTTTTGGGATCCCTGGGTGATTTAGCGGTTTTGCACCTGCCTTTGGCCCAGGGCATGATCCTGGTGGGATCGAGTCCCACACTGGGCTCCCTGCATGGGGTCTGCTTCTCCCTCTGCCTGTGTCTCTGCTTCTCTCTCTCTCTGTCTCTCAGGAATAAATAAAATCTTTAAAAAAAATTTTTTTTTAATAAATACTTTCTTAAAATGCCATTAGACGGCATACCTAAGCTAACTTTATATCACCTGAGTGGCTAAGAAGCATTTTGATGTTATAGAATAGGATGGAAACTGGAAGTAGAGAGCAGAAAAAAATGAAGGAAGATTCCATAGGTCCTTGCTGTGCTTTAGTGCTATGTACGCAAAGCACTTATGGTCCATGTAAAGATAACTCAGGTAACTTATTCACTTTACTGTAAATAGGCAACAAACTAAAAATTTTAAAATACATGAAAGCCATCCTTTGACTTGTATGTCTATAGTTAGAGTTTGGTGTTATAGAAAGGAAGCATAGTTATAAACCAAAAAATAGATAGTTATTTAATATATATAAAATGATAAGCTAAGCAGGACTCAGAAATGTATAAGGTACAGGCTCTGTATTCAAGGAACTTCTCATCTAGTTTGCTGGAAAGAGAATGAGTTATGCTGCAATAACCAGATGGTTGTGTATGTGTATGTGGTAAGCTGAATACTGGCCCCCTAAAGATGTCCATACCCTAATCCCCAGAACTTTGAATATATAACCTAATGTGGCAAAACGGACCTTGCAGATACAACTGGGGGAGCAGACCTTGAGATGGGAAAATTATCCTTGATTATCCATGTGGATCCAATCTAAACACACAAATTCTTAAAAGCATAAAGGTAAAGACAAAGAAAAAGAAAGAAACACTATATGATTCCACTCTTGTAATTTAAGAAAAAAAAATAAGCAGAGAAAAAAAAATAAAAACAGGCTCTTAACTATAGAGAACAAACTGAGGGTTACCAGAAGGGAGGTGGGGGGGATGGGTGAATTAGATGAAGGAGATTCAGAGTGTATAATAGTTTTTAATAAAAGATACACTTATGATGAGCACTGAGAAATGTATGGAATTGTTGAATCCTTTATGGTACACCTGAAACTAATATAGTACTGTATTGTTAAGTATACTAGAGTTAAAAACAATTTTTTAAGTAGCTGCATGTCCAGTGGGGAGCCCAATGCAGGGCTTGAACTCATGACCTTAGATAGAAACCAAAGCTGAGCTGAGATTCATATTCAGAAATGGTAGGAAATCGAAGTGAAATAAAAAGGTCATTGGTCCCATAGGCACTTGCTTCTACAAATGACAAAGAAAGGTCAGGCCACCAAGTTGATCTTTTGCTGCCTAGTCCTTCCATGCTGACAGTGGGTCTAGGACCCTTCCTGCAATTAATTCTCTAAAGGGGAGGAGACACACTGTCTTTAGGTTTGATCACAAACTTCAGTGAGACCAATGAATGCCATTATAGACTACCAAAAAGCTTTTCTTTTTCTTTTTCTTTTTCTCCCTTAGCTGTATATTCTGTTTTCATAAATCTCCTCCTGGGTTTTAATTCATTTTTAGTTCATTGCGTGAACATAGGTGGTTACTTTACCTATTAACTCAGTAAAACATGTTCTGAATGCCTTGGGACGGAGTTTGGATGCAAAATTGTTAATTAAAATATGATACTATGGCCTTAATGATTTTATTTTCTCTATAAATCTTTTTTTTTCTCTATAAATCTTAATATGTACTCTTTCTCCCTCTCACCCTACCTTATTCCAAAAAGAATTTCATGCAGGCTTGCTGTTAAAATCTTTAGACTTCTCATATTTATTTTGTTTCTACTCCATTTTCTTCCTTAAGATAATTAAGGATGCAGGGCAGCAGAGGAAGGAGGATTTTTTAAAAAAGATTTTATTTATTTATTCATGAAACGCAGACACACACACACAGGCAGAGACACAGGCAGAGGGAGAAGCAGGCTCCATGCAGGGAGCCTGACATGGGACTTGATCCCGGGTGCCCAGGATCAGGCCCCTGGGCTGAAGGCTGCGCTAAACCACTGAGCCACCCGGGCTGCCCAGAAAGGAGGATTCTTTTTTTTTTTTTTAAGATTTTATTTATTTATTTATTCATGAGACACACACACACACACAGAGAGAGAGAGAGAGAGAGATGCAAAGACACAGGCCAAGGAGAAGCAAGCTCCACGCAGGGAGCCCGACATGGGACTCGATCCTGGGTCTCCAGGATCACACCCCGGACCGAAGGTGGCGCTAAACCGCTGAGCCACCAGGGCTGCCCGAAGGAGGATTCTTAAGAGAGAAAAAATACCCCCTATAAATATCCTTAATACTTAAAGGGAACAATCCAAAGTATCATTATTCTTCAATAAATTTACTAGATGCAAAATTATAGTCAAACCACATTTTCAGAAATGCTTTAGTTGGAAATAATTTTAGATTTGCAGTAAAGTTACAAAACTAGTATAGAGAGTTTATAGATACCCTTTGTATATTAGCTTCCTCTAATATTAGAATTAACCACTTATTCAGAGTCCTGGCTCGTTTTATTGGAGAATAGTCCTTAGAAATCAAGATCTAGATTCTAGGTGTGTTTGTTCCTATGGTCATTGTTCCTAGCTCCATTCAGCAAAGACATGTACATATACTAACCCGTGCATATACGCACACTATAAACCAGGAGTTCATACTGATATCTCTGATTGCAATCCAGTAGGATGTTTCATTCTAGTCTTTCCCCTTTCTTTGTAAGTTCTTTCTCAGACAGTAAGAAAGCTTACTTTAATTTTCTACAGTGTATTCACTTTATATAGCCCCCTTCCTACACTCTCCCTATAGGTGTCTAATTTCTCTAGTCTTTGATTATCCTTCTTGAATTTCTTTTGTACAATAAACAGATACACATGTATTGTTTTACATGAAGGGTAGCATGCCATTGATACCCTTTTATGCCTTGCTTTTTTTCATTTAGCAGTATATCCTGCAAACTATTCCAAAGCTGTTCATAGAGACCTTTCTCATTTTTTGAACATGGTACTCCACTGTGTGGAATATCATTATTTATTCAAGTGATTATGACACTATATTAGTTTCCTATTCCTGTGACAAATTATCACAAACTTGGTGACTTCAAAAAAAAAAAACCCACAGATTGGTTATCTTACAGTTCTGAAAGAAATTTAAAATGCTCACTGGATGAAAATTAAAGTGTCAACAGGGCTGCATTCCTCATGGAGGGTCTAGAGGAGAATCCTTTCCTTGTCTTTTCCAGTTTCTAGAAGCTGTCTGAAATCCTTGGCTCATGTCCCTTTCTTCCCTCCTTAAGCCAGCAGTGTAGCATCTTTACCTCTGACTCTCTTCCCTCCATCTTTCATTTATGAGGACCCTTGTGATTTTATGAGACCCACTTGGAGATTTCAGGGTGGTCTCCCCATTTCAAAATCCTTAACTAAATCACACCTGCAAAATCCCTGTTTGCCATGTAAGGTAATATATTCACAGGTTCTGGGGGTTAGAACATAAATTTCTTTGAGGGCCTGTTATTTTGCCTACCACAAGTACTTATTTTCAGTTATTTTGCTATTGCAAATAGTGCTGCAGGGAATACCTTGTGCTTTCACATTCTTTATGTTATTGACTCTGCATTTTGAGTCTTTGTTTAGAAAGCCTTTACCTATACCAAAGTTAAAGAGGTAGTCATCCATGTTTCCCTATGGCACTTGTATAGCTTCACTTACTTATGTTTAGATCCATAATCCATTTGGAGTTTGTTCTTGTGAGATGTGGATCCAATTTTCTTTCCCAAAATGGCTACCTAGTAGTACATACATTCATTAAAAAGTACATCTTATAAAAAACAGAAAGGAAAGAAAACTTCCAAATTCATTCTGTGTGGCCAACATTCCCCTGATACCAAAACCAGACAGACTCCACTAAAGACGAGAACTACAGGCCAGTATACCTCATGAACAGAGATGCAAAAATTCTCAATAAAATACTAGCAGACCAAATCCAACAATACATTTAAAAAAAATCATTTACCATGATCAACTGGGATTCATTTCTGGGTTGCAAGAGTGGTTCAATATTCGCAAGTCAATAAACATGACTTACCACATTAATAAAAGAAAGGATAAGAACCCTGTGATCACTTCAGTAGATGCAGAAAAAGTATCTGAAAAAATACAACATCCATTCATGATATGAACCCTCAACAAAGTATAAATAGAACATACCTCGACATCACAAAGGCCATATTCAAAAAATCCACAGCTAATATCATCCCAAATGAGGAAAAACTAAGAGCTTTTCCCCTAAGGTCAGGAACAAGACAGGAATTCCACTCTCACCACTTTTATTTAACATAGTACTACTGGAAATCCTAGCCACAGCAGTTAAACAACCTAAATAAAAGGCACTCAGATCTGCAAGGAAGAAGTAAAACTTTCACTGTTTACAGATGACATGATAGTCTACATAGAAAACCCAAAAGACTGCTAGAACTGATGAACAAATTCAGAAAAGTCACAGGATACAAAATCAACATAGAGAAATCTGTTTCATTTCTATACTATATCTATACTATTCTGTACTATTCTATGTTCCATTTCTATAATGAAGCAGCAGAAAGAGAAATCAAGAAATCAATCCATTTACAATTGCACCAAAAAGAGTAAGATACCTAGGAATAAACTTAATGAAAGAGGTGAAAGACCTGTACTCTGAAAACTAAAACACTGAAAAGAAAGAAAAGAAAGAAGACACAAAAAAATGGAAAGACATTCCATGCTCGTGAATTGGAAGAACCAATACTGTTAAATACTATACTATACTTCCCAAAGCAACTCATAGATTTAATGCAATCCATATTAAAATACCAGCAGCATTTTTCACAGAGCTAGAATAGACAATACTAAAATTTGAAAGGAAAAAAAAAGTCCATCTTTACCCCCCAGTGATTTGAGATGTCACCTTTATTAGTCTTCCGTGTATACTCGACACTATCTCTGGACATGCTATTTCACTGGCCAATTTGTCTATTCATGTACCAGTATTATAATTTTAGTATGTTTTAATGCCTGGTTAGGCTAATATGGCCTTGTAGTTTATTTTTTCAATGTTTATTACATATTTGCATTTTCATAAAAACTTTAATATCAATCTGTCCAACTCTATAAAAATAGTTTATTGATTTTTAAAATTAGGACTATATGCAATTATAAATTTATCTAGGAAGAACTGTTGAGTCATTCTACCCAAGAACAGAGTATGTCTTTCCCTTTAAAAGAGTATTTTTATGTCTTCCAGGAGTTTATAAATGAACTACAATATAAGGCAAAGTGGGATTTTTTTTGTGTGTGTGGAAAAAAAAGGAGACATTTAAGTTAAATTTCAAAATTTCCTGTAAAATGTTTATGAAAAGAATCTTTCAGTTGAATTCCTTGCCTATTTGTCAAAGGACCATATTAGCAGTGCATATGATGGTGGGACATTCTTACTCTGAAATGTGCAGGACAGAAGAAGGGAAGAGGAACGGCAGAACTTCCAGTGGCACAACTGGAAATCTAGAAAGGAAAACTGAGCCCAGACTGCTGCCTTCTGGATACAAGGCCAGGAAATGGCTACTAAGGACCCTGGATATATTATTCTCTGTGTATGCAACCAAAAAATCACAGGCACTGGGGGCAGACACACGTAGGACCGACCTTGGCTCCATCACTTACTGGTTTTATGACCTTGGATAAGTGATATATGTTCTCTGAACCTCAGCTTCATCACTATGATGGGGAGAAGGATACCCAAGTACTACCCTGTAGCCAAAGGAGATGCTCAAAAATGTTCCCTTCTTTCTCATGTATCTTCTACTTTCCTCTCTCTTATGTGCTCACAGTCACTACTTCATTCTTTATTCCATCTCTAATTTCATTCTCCATTTTTATTCTTCATCATTTTTTTTTTTATCTTTCCCCATCTCTATAATGTCAATTCTGTGGTCAGGCATATGCTTTTCTAGTTCCCTTTCCCCTCTGCATTGTAAGATGTTTAGCACTTTAAACAGTCAATCCTGATAATGGGGATAGGGCACCCTTTAGCCTGTCAGCCCCACAACCTCATTGGGACTCCGGATCCCACTGAGCATGCTCAGCCATAAGACACTGAGACATATGCAGGTGTCCCTTCTAGAGCCATAGCAGAACCGAAGTCTTTCCTCAAGGTTCCTGTAACCTGAGCCAGAGAACATAAACATATTACTACGAAAAGCAATTGCTTCTTATTCATTCCTTTTGTACATACGATATCTTAGGTTCTTTCTTTTTTTTTTTTTTTTCAAAGATCTATCCATTTATTCATGAGAGAGACACACACACAGAGGCAGAGACACAGGTAGAGGGAGAAGCAGGCTCCACGCAGGGAGCCTGATGCGGGACTCGACCCTGGGACCCCAGGACCACGCCCCGGGCCAAAGGCAGGAGCCAAACCACTGAGCCACCCAGGGATCCCCAATATCTTGGGATTCTTATGCTCCCCCCCCCCCAGGAAATTTCTGAACAAAGAAAAAAATCCCAATTTAATTAGTTCACTAAATACTAATTTACTTGTGATGTATGTGGAACACGGCAAAGTAATCAGCACAAAGTTAGGAAGGTAATGAGTAAGCATTGTCCTGAAGAAACAATAATTGGGAGGAAAAAAGTTCCTCTCTTAAGAGCCATATATTTTTTTTAAAGATTTTATTTATTTATTTATTTATTTATTTATTTATTTATTTATTTATTTATTTGAGAGACAGATAGCAGGAGCAGGGGAGAGGGAGAAGCAGACTCCCTGCTGAGTGACGCAGGGCTCCATCCCAGGACCCTGCAGTCATGACCTGAGCTGAAGGGAGACCCTTAACCATCTGAGCCACCCAGGCACCCCAAGAGTCATGTATTTAAATGTGACTGACTATAATGGCAATTTAAAGTATACTTTTCTTATAGAATTGTTGAATCACTATATTGTACACTTGAAACTAATACAACACTGTATGTTAACTGGAATTAAAACTTAATAAAAATAAAATAAAGTATGTTTTTATTATAATCATTGAATAAAAGTATATCCTGTTTCTAATTTTTCTTGTCAAGAGATTTAGACATCTATTCCAATACTTAGCATTTACTTTACAACTAATATTGATTTGTACAAAACCATAATTTCTTATTAAAATAAAAAAAGGCAAAATGTGTTGCCCATCTTTAATACTTGCTAAGACTTTGGATCTGATCTACACCAGAACTCTGAACACATTCTCTCCCGCAGAATCAAATCATTACTTAATTTAAATCAGGTCACCACTTTGTTCTTCTGTGTTTGCCTCCCTCTTCCTGCAGATCTATGCTCTACCTTTCCCTGCCCTGAGTCCTGGGGTTCTGAACCTCAGCCCTGCATCCCCCAGGCTCCTTTGCCCTCTGGCTTCAGGCTGAACTCAGTCAGCAGGCCACACCAGCAGGAGCCTGGAGTGGGGGGTAGTCAGTGAATTTAGGTCTGTGGTTCTGGAGGTGTCAGTGGTTTCCTAGAGTCACAGCTCATTTCAGACTTCCTCTCTCCCGTAACTCCAGCCCTCACTAGGCTCTGGGTAACATTGAGCCCTTCCCTTTCCCCTTCCAGCCTCAGGATAAATGGTTTGCTGCTGTCTCTCTGCCCCTGGGTGCCTCACTGTACCTTCCGGTTACCTTAAACCCTGCCCGCAGTCAGCACAGTCCCTTCATTAAATTCTTTTCTGTTAAACTTATTTGAAGGAGCATGTTTTCTACCTCCTGTCAACACCACACAAATTAATGGGTATGTTTGTGTTTTTCTTATGAACTATATAACATTTAAAAGATACCTGCATGTATTATGAATACTAAAAAGATATACTTTTTAATATGCATTAAACTCAGTGCTTCTGACAATTGTAGGTTGAGTGTGATGACCTCCAGACTGTCTGATACAAGCTAAAATTAAAAAATGAAAACTTGCGTCAGACTTTGCTCTAAGTCTGCACTCATTTGAGCTGACTAGTTGCTAAATTTCTTTTTCAATTCCCTCATTGGGTACGTACATCAAGTGAAATGAGCAGTGTCTCTGCTGACCAAAAGGACAGGACCTCGGACTCAAGCATGTGACATGTAATTTACAACAGAGCAGCTGCTGCTTTGATAAAATAGATGTCCCCTTTCAGCTGTAGATGTCAGAACCACAGAGAAATTATAAAGCTAAAACTTATGTATACATGTAGAGCAAAGTTGAGCTAAATATTGTCTTCAAAGCACCTAGTTTCTTTAGCCATGTCACAATTAACAAGGTACCATCAAAGTGAGGTAAATGGTGCTGATTTATTTCAGCCATCAGGGGTACATATGGTTCCTTAGGTGAAAGGCTCTGAAAAAAAAACCTGAAGATAAGATTTTCTTGTTCATTTGTGAAGCGTATTTGGTACACTGGAGCCATTTCTAATCGTCTAAAGTGTAGGTCACAGAACCATACTATAGATGAATCATCTTCATCTTCTACAGTGGAGATTCTGTATTTCAAATGCCATGCAATGGACAATCATGTTAGACAAAGCTTCAGTGTGAACAAGTTAATGTAGTTTTATAGAGAAGCATGATCAAAACCATAATATTTTCAGCCCTTCCTACATTTAAACTTCTTATTGCCTGAATTATTATTACTTTAGGTTTTTGCAGAGGTCCTGTTAATTTCCATGTTTAGGCTTATAGTAATGTCTATTGCACAGGTTGGATAATAAAACACTGAGTTTTGTATTTGAAAATGATATCTACTTATGTCAATTACAGACATACAAAAAAAGAGGTATGATCAATGCCAGCAATAGCAAATTTTCTTTCCTTCCAAAAATAAAGTTTTAAAGTCAAAACATTATTTTAAAAATTCTAATCCATTTATTTTATGATCTATATAATTTGATTTATAGAGTTTTTGCAGGTGAAGTCTCGCAGTACTCCACTTCTCCTACACTTGTCCTTAAACTTAGGTATAAATTTGCAAAGCAATGCCTCAAAATGTTTTTGGAAAAATAGAATTATATTATATTGCTGCCTACCACTGTAATCAACACACTGACATTTCTACTTGCTTCTTATTAATGTTTATGTAAAGTATAGAACCCCAAAGATACTGATTCATTTTTTCAGGGCTTATTGAGCACTGACAGTATGCCAGGTGCTATATTAATCAATGAAGACAGTAAAGATGAAGAGACAAAATTGAGTAATTTTATAATATTTATATGTTCTGAAATGGTTCATTATTTCACATAGTGCTTTTCTTGGAAAAATTTTCCGTAAAGAAAAATTTTGTATTTTCTTTGAATCTATTTGGCAAATTAACAATGTTAGTTTTAGGTTTATGGTTAGGTTCAGTTCAAGTACATTTACTGATGATAAATTAGAAATATGTGGGCCATTAAATTTTGGATTTATTACATGAATAGTAATATAAAAGTTAGGATTTGAATATTTTTTAAAGATCTTATTTATTTGAGAGAGGGAGAGAGAGAGAGAGAGAGAAAACATATGAGTGGGGGGAGGGACAAAGAGAGAGGGACAGGCAGGTTCCCTGCTGAGCAGGGAGCCATGCGTTTAATCCCCAGGACCCCAGAATCATGGCCTGAGCTGAAGGCAGATGCTTAACCTACTGAGCCTCCCAGGCACCAGGATTTGAATTTTGGTTGTATATATACATTTTCACCTGATTTTTAAATCATACATAATCTGGATGCCAAATTATTTTCAGTTATACACCAAAAAAGAAAAATATTAATTTGAAGCCATATTTATTTTATTTTTAAAGATTTTATTTATTTATCCACAAGAGACACAGAGAGAGAGAGAGAGAGAGAGAAGCAGAGGACACAGGCAGAGGGAGAAGCAGGCTCCATGCCAGGAGCCCAATGTGGGACTCGATCCTGGGTCTCCAGGATTGGGCCCTGGGCCAAAGGCGGCACTAAACCACTGAGCCACCCAGGCTGCCCCATATTTTTTTTTAAAGAAAATTTGAACATGAAGACTTCAAAGCTTAAATTAAATCAGAATGGATGACTATAGGTGATTTCCTGTTTCTAAAAATCTTTCTGCAATTATATATATATCTTTATAATATACACAAACAAAAACCACACTGACAGCTGTCATGATAAGCCTTAACATTAGCAACTCCTGATCTACCCACAGGCTTTGTAAGGGTTGGGTTTTTTTTTTGTTTTGTTTTGTTTTGTTTTTTGTTTTTGTTTTTGCACATATAATAAAAATCAATTCTACTGTAAGAACTGATTGAGAATATTTATTTTAATTAAATATTTTCTTCATAGTTTTAGCATTTTTTAAAAGATTTTATTTATTTATTCATGAGAATACACAGAGAGGAGAGAGAGGCAGAGACACAGGCAGAGGGAGAAGCAGGCTTCATGCAGGGAGTCGACGAGGGACTGGATCCCGGGTCTCCAGGATCAGGCCCTGGGCTGAAGATGGCGCTAAACCGCCGAGCCACCCGGGCTGCCCAGTCTTAGCATTTAAATACTTGCATGTTTAAAGGCTTTACGAACTTGAAGGCAAAGGAAATTCTATTAAGTTAGATATTTTTTAAAAAACTGTTAAAATTGGGGATCCCTGGGTGGCTCAGTGGCTTAGCGCCTGCCTTTGGCAATCCTGGAGTCCCGGGATTGAGTCGTGCATCGGACCCCCAGCATGGAGCCTGCTTCTCCCTCTGCCTGTGTCTCTGCCTCTCTCTCTCTTTCTTTATGTCTATCATGAATAAATAAATCTTTAAAAAAAATAAACAAAAAACAAATAAATAAAATAAAAACTGTTAAAATTAATTCATTTCTGAGTATCATTTTGCTAGGATGCCCCTTTAATAAATACAATGATTAGGACTTTTATCTGCAAGAACTGTCGTTTTCAAGAAATGGAAATCCAAACTGCACATCTATGAAGAAAAGGGGGAGAATCTTCCTGTTGTGGGAGACAGAAGGATGACCAAGGTTCAGATGCAAGAGACATAAGGCTAAAATGAGGATGGCAGTGGTTCTGTCCACCCTATGTATTCTGTTACACAAAAAACTACTGCCATTGAACACCATAATATGATTTAGTGTGCCCACATGTGTGCTGTCTCTGTGTGTGTGTGTCTCTCTCTATATGTGTGTGTGTGTGTGTGTGTGTGTGTGTGTATGTAAGTATATGGGGGGCTGCATTTAAAAACATTTGAACAAGTACATATGTTTAAATAAATACACATGTATATTTAACATGGTACAATTTTGCCTAAAATTTATAATGTAAAAGAAGGCATTTCAGATGTGGGCCTCTCCAGTAAGAAGATCCCAAAGGCCCATCTATTTGCTTTACAACCCTCATAGTCTACCATCAGATGGGATGCATGGAAAAGAATGCTAGCATGTTCATAGCTTTATTATCAAACTGAAAAGTTAGAGCATCAAAGTAGTAATCACTTCAAAATGAAACTGTTGTGGACTTCACCATGGGAAATCAAACCATGTTGCTATAAAGAAGAGAAGATCACTGCCCACTTTGCTCAATTTTCCTTCCCTTAGCAGAAGCGTTGTGGCACTTTCTTGACTTAGCAGAATTAACTTTTCTCACTGGACACCCAGGGGGGTGTCCCTGGCAAGCTAAAGTTCCCTGATTAGGCTGCAGGTTTCTCATTCTTCCTAAATCACAGCAGAAAATCATTTCTGGAAGATTAGCCTTCCCCTGATGCACCTCCTTTGGGGGAGGGGATGAGAATGCAACTATGCCCTGTGAGCTCACACAGTCACAACCTCACACTGGCATGGGATCTAATTCTTGTCTGCTCCCACTTTGCTATCCATCCACTGGACATCCTTCTCTCTCTTGCCGCATGCCTTCAGAAGATGTGTTCCAGGCTCAGCTTTAATCCATCTGTTCAAGTTGTGGCACCTCTGCTACAAAGTTCTCATTTGCAGAGATGTTAACTGTGTCACTTTTCAAATTCCATGTTCACAGTTCTACCCTTTAAATACAAGGAAATC